CCCTAACCCTAACCCTAACCCTAACCCTAACCCTAACCCTAACCCTAACCCTAACCCTAACCCTAACCCTAACCCTAACCCTAACCCTAACCCTACCCCTAACCCTAACCCTAACCCTAACCCTAACCCTACCCCTAACCCTAACCCTAACCCTAACCCTAACCCTAACCCTGCAGTAGCAGCCCCTTGACGATTCTCGCCGGTGATTCTGCAGCAGACCATTCTCCGAACTTTATCGCAGGAGCGTCAGACGGGTCTGCGGTGGAAACGTGCGCATTCGTAGTCATCTTAGCCTTGGGCCCAACCATGTCGTAGCCTGATCTGGTTCCGCAGGACTTCTACTGTGTCAGCGACGAGCGATGAGCCAAAGCACATGGCGAGCCCAGACAAAGATGCCATCGGCGCAATGTTTTGGAGCTGACGACAAAAGGTACGTTTGCGGCGAGAAAAGAAGCCTGAGAAGCCGTCGACAAGGATTGATTCGAGAAAGCAGCAATGTCAATGAAGCGGGCTGTCTCTCCGAAACGAAGCAATGTTTTGTTTGGAAGCAGGGGGTCCACCAAACCCATGGGAGTGCCAAGGCCGACGGGAGTTTGCACCTCCCAAAGGGCAAAGCACGGCCCCTCAGCTGACAACAGCCTGCCTTTGCGACAGCGAAATGCTTCTTCTCCCGTCGTGTGGCTTCCCGTCGTTTGAAGCTTTCCCTTCTTTTATTCCGTTAACTCTTTCCTCGCAGGTCGGGGTCTGAAAGCGTTAGTGCGGCTCTGTTGTTGTATTTGTAATTGTGCTAAAATATGAGCATTCATTCATAGTATAGATACCAAGCCACAATCTTTTTGTTTTTTCTCCGTTCAGCTTTTCTTTGCTTTTCTCTGCCGGGAAGAACTCCCATCCCGCGCCTGCAGCTAGCGGAAAGGCTAGACCGATCCGCACCCCCTTTAGATTATCCATCTGAAATCGAGACGTCAGGGATCTACAATGAAAGAAAACGAACAAGGCTATTTCGATAAATGAAATGGATAGCAGAACCCTTCCCGTCGGTGAATTCTTTTTCTCTCCTATGCTTTGATGGGTGCGTGCGGGAGCGGAAACCTGTCTCGTACCGTACTTAAATGCAGAGCGAAAGCATGAATCGAAGAGCGAATCCCCCAGCATCATCCTCAAAATGCGCGTCGCTCTACCTTCTCTCCTCTTTCTCACCCTCGGCTCTGTCGTGGCAGCCGACGAGACCAAATTCTATACCCAGGAACTCTGCTCGACGAAGCTGGGCAGTAGATCGCAGCGCCATGTTGCCACTGCCACCTATGCAGTCACGGCGACGATTGTGTTGCCGGCGCGAACAAAGGTCGTGCGGTCCACCAGCACCGTCACGCCAGCCACCGTGACTGTGAGCCAGACGTCGACTTCTACGGCAACCTCGTATGTGACGACGCAGGTGTGTTTTCATCTGTCGCTTTTTCTCTTTGCTTCTCTTTTCTAATCATATATTCAAACATCAGACCACAGACACGGCAACAACGACACTCACAGAGACAGAGACGGACACCGTGACCTCGACAGCCACGTCGACGACGACGACGACTACCACGTCCACCAGCACGGTAGCCTCGACGACGACAATCGCGCCCGCAGGCTTCACACCGATCCTCTCTTCATCCAGCTACGTGCCACGCGATATCCAGGACGCCAGCGCCGACAGACTCTTCCCGAGAGGCACGAGAAAGCAGGACAATACCCTCGTCTGCAAGGGGGGCAAGCCCAAGCGGCCGGCTGCGCTGCGATACCCGCAAAAAGTCAACTGCAAAGCGGCGGTGGAAGCGGTGATTGTGCGCACCAAGACCAGAACCGCATCGCCAACGACGATCACGGCAGCAGCCCCGACGACTACCCAGACTGTCAGCGTCACCACAACGGCAACCGACACGAGCACGCTGGCCGATGTCACGGTCACAGAGACCGAGACCGACACGGAGACGAGCACGTCGACTGCGACGACCACTTCCACCGTCACGGCCACGACGACGGTGACCGATGTCGTTCCCTCGGCGACGGAGTATGCCATCTGCGGCGCCGACAACTTTGCCAATTCCGCCAATGGAGCGCAGGCCCTCACCGGGGTGGAGCCCTACGCACAGGTCGACTATTATTCCGACACCACATCGGCAGCCCAGTGCTGCAGCCGATGCCAGGCCGCCACCAGCTGCTCCTACTTTGTCTACATTTCAAACAGCTGCTATCTCGGCAACCCCACCACCTGCCAAGCGGGCGTCAACAACGCCAACTTCTACACTTCAGCGGGCTCTGACCCCGCCGACGGTTTCACCGTTGGCAACGGTGCCTGTGGCGCTATCCACGACTCTGGTAGTTATTGATTTTTTCTCTCTTTCTCTTCCAGCCTCTTGACGTCGCTTGACATGCCACCGTCTCATGAAATCATAAAAAGAAATCACAGCTCATTGTTGTACCTAACATGGAGAAGTTATCTGTTCCGCAGTGGACTTGAGAAAAGGGACTCGTACGAGATAAATACTCCTGATTGGCTTTCTCAACTTATTTCAGAAAGGAAACTTGAGAACTTGCGCTCATCATGCTCAAACCTTGCATGGACGTGACCCCTCCGTTCGAGGCGCGTTAAAATAGACGACAGCCTTTCTATCCATTTATCTTAAGCATTGCTGTCCACCCTGCCCTATTTGCGTGAGAGTGAGCGACGCACCTCTTGGGAAGAGCCGCCAAAGTCCCCGCCGCCGTTACTTGTGAGCTTGAAATTGCGCAGTTGCCCTCATTCGTGATAGATAAACGAACAGCTCATCCAGTCAATGAGGCGTCAATCTTTGGTCTGTGCTGCACCACTTCCGTCTACTCTCTCTTCTCGCCTGATCACCTTGCGTCTACCTCTGCCTTCTATGTATGCAGAATCAGTGCAGAAGTTCTTCTGTTTTCATCGTTTGCGCTCGTCAACAGCAACAACGCGAGCGCAGAAGGACACACAGGCGGGCAAGCAAGCAGACAGAGGACGCCAAGCCAAGGGTGGCGCACGTGGCATTCCGCTCTTGCGAGCGCCGATCTAGAGTCGATCCCATTGCGACTCCTTCGGATGACACTCCAACTGTCTCTCTCTATTGGCAGAACATCGACTCGGAGCCAACATAGCATCTTAGATTCTTATTAGGGTGTATCGTACAGAAACGTCTCCTCAGAGTGTTCGTGATGATGATGATGCCGTCACTCTCAGCCGCAGAAGTCCAACTGGCAGTTGTCGTGGTGAGGGAACTTGTCGCAAGCAAAGCCGTCTTCGGCACGGTAAAAGGTGTTGCAGATCTTGAAGCTGGGCACGCCCTCGCCCGGAGCCGGCCTTGTGCATTTGGGCCCGATCTTCTCGCCTGTGCCCGGAGCTGGGGCGAACTCGTAGCCGTCCTTGGAGTGATAGCGCCAGTTGGCCGCTTGGGACGACATCTCGACCCAGGCGCCGTTGCCGCAGTCGAGCCTGCGGACTTCGCTGCCCTCTGCGTGGCTGTTTCCTGCTGCGTTCCCGTGGCACACCTCGACGTCGTTGTCCCACACCTGCATCGAGATCGAGGTGCCAAGCGCGACCTCAGTGTGGACCTGGGCGTGCATGATAACGCAGGCCTGGATGCCTGCGATCGACGAGAGCATGGCAAAGAGAATGGAGGAGCGCATTCTGATGTATGGCTGGCAGAGTCTTGGAGTGAGCGAAGTTGGTTAGGATGTGTCGAGTCTGCTGGTGGTCGTCAATGAGAAGAGAGAGGCCTGCCGATAGACGGCGTTTTATACCTTTGCCTGGAGCGTCCCTGCAGCCTCCTTTGTCGCGAGGTCACCCTCCATGAGGTCGAGAAAGCTGTCCCTGAGCAATATGGTCGTTGACGTCATCCGCTCGCCCACCTGAACATCCGCATGGGATTGACACAACCGCCAGTCAGCATGTCTTCTTGGCAAATTGCGGTCACATGGTCATGCATCAGGGGCGATTTCGCCGGATGCTCTCTTCCTCTTCGACACAGACTTCATACAAACACCAGCATTATTTTTAGCAACAATCATGTGCTCCTTGAACGATTTCTTGTAATCGCGCGCAGTGAAATTTTTAAAATGTCGGCGAATTACTGTTGAAGTTGGAGTCCACAAGGTCATCTTTTTTTGTCTCTCGGCAGTGCACCGTGATCCAGGACTTCTGCCGTGGGTGATTCAGCCCTGCGCCGGTTCCCAGAAAGCATCGCTGGTTCCTGAAGCACGTTCCTGCGTCGGCGCTGCATCCCAAGACGCCGAGAATCAGGATCGATTGGCGAAAATAGAAATACGGATCAAGTCCGTGTGCCTGAAATATTGGACCATGCGGTTCCTTTTTGCCAAGGTGTGCCTGATAATCTGGAGCACGCGGTTCCCCTTTTTTCACTGTGGGCCGAAAACGTATAAACGTATGAAGGAATCTATCCCATTGAAAGCTAGCGCACCCCGAAATCACAACAGCAGCGAAGTCATGGTTGACGCTCGAGTTCGTCCTCTTCATCGTGGTTGTTATTCCGTGTCATGAGCTAAATGCCAATCTGGGAATATTCAGAAAGACCACGCCATGTGGCCTCAACACGGATGAAAGCGCACGTGGCGGTCGAACAAGGTTTCTTCGAGCTCCACCGTACACACGCTCGGCGACAGCAACAGCGCGAGCGCTGAAGGACACATAGGCAAGCAGGCGGGCCGAGGACGGCCAGGCTTCAGCGTGGCGGACATGGCATTCCGTCCGAGCGACGCGCTCGACGCTGTTGTCACAGGCATGTCAGGCATCGCCCCAATGTGCCCCCTCCACAACGTGTGGAGCGCATCACGGGGATTAGGCTATATCCAGGCGCGCACGGTCGGTCACATGACCTTCCAAAGGGTCTCTGCTGCCGCTAGACGCAGGGCGAGCCCTATCGATCTAGCGGGGGCCCCGTCGCAAAGACAGCTGCATCAATCTAGCCTCCTAACGCCACCACTACCATAATGGCGCCCCAATCGTTTCGCCAGATGGCCGGCATCCCCGCCTCGTCTGTCTCCGCATCGTCGGACAGCACCGCGCTCCTCGTCATCGACGCGCAGACGTCGTACGCGCAGGGCGCTCCCCTCGCCATCTCGGGCGTCGATGCAGCCCAGGCTCAGATCGCCAAGCTGGTTTCGGTCTTTCGCAAGGCGGGCCGAGCGGGACAGATTTTCTGGATCCAGCACTCGGCGGGGGTGGGAGCGCCCGTGTTCGATCCAGAAAGGAGCGAGTTGTTTGACTTCATGGGCGGTGACGACAACCTGCGGCCCAAAGACGGCGAAACGATCATCGTCAAGAAGGCGCCCAGCTGGTGAGTCCGACCGCGCATTTCCCCAGTATCCCTACTGAAGCGAGAAGCGAAACCAGCTTCACCGGCACGGATCTGCACGAGCTTCTGCAAAAGCAGGGAACCAAGCAGCTTGTCCTGACTGGCTACATGGCGCACGGTGAGTCGTCTCTACCTCGCCGTTTGTAAGAAGCTCACCGTCTGGCAGTCTGCGTGACCGGCACCGCGCGCTCGTCGATGGAGCACGGGTACGACACTGTCGTGGTGCGCGACGCAATCGGCGATCGCGACATCCCGTCCTGGAAGGACACTGCGGAAACGGTGCGTGCGGAGACACTCGTCGACACCGTCTGCACGGAGCTGGGCGACTTCTTTGCCACCATCGTCAAAACCGCCGACGTCAAGGCCTAGGAGATTGCCCCTGCCACGTCATCACCGGTCCGTCGGGTTCCGACAGCAAAGTGTTATATTGTGATCATCGGAATATGTCAGAACTTGTCTCTCTTGCCGCTCTTTACTGTCTCCTCGTCGTGGAAAGATCACGTGCGCTGGCGATGAAAGATCATGTAGGCTGGCGCTGAAAGACCACGCAGTCTCGTCTAGCCCATACACGCATTGACAGACAAGTGGACATTGGTGTTTCGAGGCCAGACGCCGCCGCCGAGGCATTCTAGCATTCAAGCACAAGGACGATGAAGAAGTCACGCGTCAACATGGAGAGGCCGTGCACACAAGATGCACGTGGGCGTCTTAATGCATGAGGGCTTCCTTGCATGCTCTTTATGCTTCCCAATGTCATCGGCCAGCGGGAGCTCTGCCCCAAGGAAACAAAAGCGGATCCATCGTGCTTGCGACGTACGTCTCGGAAATGCTCCACAAACACCTTTCTGTGACTGAATCCTCTTCGCCCTGCAGAGCTGTCGTCGCCGCAAGCATCGATGTGACGGGCAAGAGGGCCAAAGATGTGGCAATTGCACCGCTGCGGGGCGTGCTTGCACGTTTAGCGAAAAGACGCAGCGAGCTTCTCGAAAGGAGGTCAACAGGCTCAAAGAGGAGCTTCAGTCGCTGAAGGGCGACAAGAAGAAGTCCAGAAGCGCGGCCCAGCCTGCTGAAGCAGAAGACCGGGCCTTTCTTCAGGACAGCTGCTTCCTCGGCGCTTCCAGTCCCTTTCATCTCCTCTGCACACTTCAGAAGGAGAGCACGCGGGAAGTTCGATCGCAAACCCTCGTGACTTCCGCCGCGCATCCATTGCTGACCGGCGAGAAGCTCCCGGGGGAGCAGCGGCAGAGGTTGGAAGAGGTGGTCGCCCAGGTCTGGCCAGATGCTGCCACTGAAACCGCGCTCCTGGACGCTTTCTTCGCCCAGCCCCACTGGATCTATCCGATGTTCTCGGAGGGTGCCTTTAAGATACAGCTCTCTGACGAGGGAAGCAAAGGAGACTTCGACTTTGTCCGACTTGCCTTTGCTCTCTTTGCTGTGGCGTCTCGGTATACAGAAGTGATCGCCGAATCGGAAGCTCAGCTGATCGGGGCACGGTTTTACGATGCTTGGCAACGATTGGAGACTGGCGGGGCAATCGTTTCTCTCTCCCAGATACAGTCGAGCCTTCTTGCGACAATCTGTGCGTGCTGTGTGAAACAAACGGAAACGCATGCAGCTTACCCCTTCTGAACTCGTCCTGGTCGCAGATCTAATGGGTACGCAGCTGGCCGCCTCTCTCGCTTGGCTTCAGCTGGGCAAGACGGTTCGGATGCTTCAGTCTGTAGGAGCGCACAGAAGGGGACTGGCTGATCCATGGACGAGAGCCTGGTGGATCGCCTACACACTTGATCGCGAGCAAGCCTGCATCTTCGGTCGACCGTTGGCCATCCGAGACGAAGATTGCGATGTCGGCCTCCCCGAGGATGAAGAAGAAAGGTGGGATAGACAGACGCCCTTGAGAGGCTTCATCTCGACGCTGCGGCTTGATGCGATCATAGGGTCAATCCTGCTCTCAGGCGCGCCATCTGGGCGAGCGTCACATGACGAACACCTCGTTCTGGACAGGCTCGAGCAGTGGCGAGCGACGAACCCGCTTCCATACGACTTGCAACAAGCCAAAACCCCACTCTTCATCCAGAGCTCGATGCTCTTTCTCAAGTATCATTACTGCCGGATGCTGCTGGCTCGAAAGGCGTTTCTTCGCGGAGAAGCGTTCCAACCAACGCTGGAGGCGTCTCAAGGCATTGCCAAGATCATCGATGGCCTGCTGCAGAGACAGGTGATGAGTGAGACTTGTCGTGAATGGCACCTTGTCCTCCACAGACTAACCCTTCCCTCGCCACCGTATCTTCCAGCAGCAGGCGGTCATATGGCTCATGCGCGGTGTGCAGAGACTGCGTTGACTCTTGTGCTGATGCACCATCGGGCTCAGTGCACGGACTCTGAGAGTATACTCAAGTGTGCAGATGGCCTCAGTCAGCTTTCAGAGCGGTGCGTTGAACGGTCTCTCCTCCAATCTGTGCCCCCTCTAAGTGTCTACGACCAACAGATGGATTCTTGCAAAACACTTGCATCACCTCCTCGCTGCTCTATTTTCACAACACAACATCACTTCGACTGAAGATGCTGAGATGGCGGCTTCCGACCTAAGCGCCTACCTCGACGAGCTGATCGAGCTTTCTTTCCCCGCCGCAAGCAACGAGCTGGGCTACTATCCAGCTCTGCAGGGGTCTTCCGACAGATACTTTCACGGGGATCCATCAGGACTTTGATAAGGCGTAGACTTCTCGTCGATGGAGCCACGGGGGCGAATGTCTTGCCAGATTCCTTCTCTCCATGTTGTAGTCGTCTGTCGAAGGGCCGCGTGCAATTCTTCATCATACTTGTCATCGCTGTCGTCCTTGTTGAGCATGGACAAGACGGAGGCGTTGCTGTCTCCGAATGCATGTGGAAGGTTGATCAAGAAGAGGGGCAAGATGCAGAGCAGCTCAAGCATGGGTGTGGACACGTAAAAGGAGGCCCGCGTCGAGTACCAGCTGGTGAGGGAGGCGACGCCGTAGTTGCTAGCACATTTAAGGCTTAGCTCGACACCCACAAGCGCCGAGGTCCACATGATCAGGCCGGCTTTGTAAGGCTCACGAATGACGATCGACTTTGGCGACCGTTTGACCAGAGCCAGAATGATCGGCACCAGTACAAAGGGCAAGCTGGCGTAGATGGCAAGATACGTGGAGGAGATCTTGATGACAATGCCGGTGCGCTGCTTGATGACCAGGTTCGTGGTGCTAATGGTAGAGTTGGTCAGCTCTGCGCGTTCGAAGTCGTGCTTCTCATCCTCACAGAATGTTGAAAATGACGGGAACGATGGTCATGATGAGGACGACGATGATGAACAATTGTACCGCTGTCGTTGCTCGCACGAAGACCGTCGACTTCTGCAGCTCTGGACGTCGGCCTTTCACCAAGCGGATCAGCAGCTGCATGTTAGCGGCGACCAGCAAGATCACACCGGCGTTTACGAGAACCGTGGCCGCAATGGCCAGGTTGGTATTGAGCGGATGCACAGCCCACGACGAACGAAGGGCAAGCGCCACTGTCCTCGACATGCACAAGCTGATCAGCATGATCTGCACTCGAAATTTCAGGTGCGACTGTCGGAAGCGGACGATCATGCCAAGGCCAAAGCAAAAGTAGATGACCATGATCACCAACGAGGCCGGAAGATCCGGAACGATCGAGGGCAAGGTGCTTTGAGTGGTCGTCTGCGAGTCGCTGGCCGGCATCGTTCTGTTTGTCGCAAAAGTGGGACCGAGGGTAGTACACACGCTCGGTCTCTCATTCACTGCGATTTATACCTTGAAGCTTATGGTGCTATTTACGGCACATCGTGAGAAGGCTGCTTCGTCGGAGTTGTAGCGCCTGCGCGGCTGCGAAGCTCCGTCCACGTGGCTTGAAGCTCGCGCGCTAAAGCGACATTGGCAAGCGCGAGCCCCGTCTCAGAGGGCCACATCAGGACCGTGACCAGCAAGAGAGCGCTCAACTGTGGCACGGCCTCTCGCCTGAGGTCACCCTGTTTCTTGGCAGGCAGTCTAAAGGGCTTTGTCTGTTGCTCGTGCGGGTAATTTACTTTCTCCTCAGGACGTGCTTCTATTGCTACAAGAGGACAGACAAATGAAGTTGGGAGCCCTCTTGATACCTTCTCGCATGTTCATGACTGGGACAGCATGTCCACAGGATCGTCGAGCATAGACAGAAGCTACATCACTTCACTTTTCGTCCCCATCGTGGCCTCCTCAGAGCCTCCCTTCGGCAAGCAGCTCGCGCGTGCGCTTCAGCGTCGAGAGCAGGGCGGACTTGTAGCCCTTGTCGCCGTCGAAGAACGCCTGCTCAGCCTGCTCCTCGGGCCCGCCGGGCTGTTTCCCGCGCAGGCCAGTGTAGCAGTAGAAACGCAGCTGCAGCTCGCCGGTCTCGTCCTCGAACAGCTCGTTGATGATGGCGCCTTCGCGTGGGCCGGTTGCCTGGAAGAAGGTGACCTTGCGCTCGCTCTCCAGGACGATGATCTCGCGAAGAGCGGCGTTGGCGATCGTGGCGTCGCGGACAAAGTGCGTCTCGGTCTCCTCCACCACATCGCAGCGGGTGCAGAGGCCTTCGGGCAGGAACAAGCGGGCGTCGCGGGCCTTGAGTACGAGTCCTTGCCATGCTTGAGCCCGGGTGAGCTTGGCGGAGCCCTCTGGGTTCACGGGAACGGTGGCTGTAGAGTAGATCATCTTTGTTGGGTTGGCAAGCGAGGAAGATCGAGGGTGGATGGAAGGCAGTGAAAAATGAATCTGGAGGCGATCAGTAGGGTTGGCACCGCTTATATAACTGATTTAGAGCGTTGTTCGCAGCTGTCAAAGGCCCTTCCGAGTTGGATTTCTCTCCGCGGCGGCCGGCGTTAAGTAATTTCCTCTAAGCCGAGTCTTTCCTCTTGAATTCACAGAGGTTCAAGCGCGATTCGATCAAGTCGCCAAGGGAAAGCCCATTGACAGAGTGGGTGGCTGATGCCATGTCCAGCAGCTCGACACCGTGGAGGATCGCAGCCTGAACGGCGGTCGTCTAGTCAGTCCATAAAGCTACGGCCGTAGTGCCGCGACGGCCAGTGCGCCGCGTAATCTGTAAATGCCCTCCGAGCTGCAATGTCAACGATATTCTCAACATTCTTAGTGTATTTCGCATGCTCGGATGAAAACAACTATGAGTACAAGCCGCAGCTAGAAGACTTTTGACTATGTCGTGACAGGAAGCCATCCTCAATGGTCGCCACTGCCCTGCCAGAGGAGCGACAGGAGCCATTGGACATCCTCCTCGTAGTCCACGCTTTCCCCGGGGATCTCCAGTTGCTCAAACAGGCTGTCCTGTCTTGGTGTTGGTGCAACAGCACGCCCATAGAGCTTCTCGAGGGCCTCCAGCGCGGGCAGCTCGACCGGATTGCGTTTCCCCGTGACATCGATGTCGTGCCGGAGATGGCCCATTGCCTCGTCGGCCTCGGCGCGCATGCGACCGAGGTCGAGATCGCGTGCAATCGTCGAGTCGGCCGGCTTCTCGAGCAAGACGGCCACGAGGACCAGCACGGCCTGAAAGAGCACGGTGCGCGCAAGGATCAGCCTGCGCCAGGGCAGGCCGGAGCGCTCCATCCTCCGTCTCACATCGACCAGCCCGAGGGCCGAGGAGGTGCACGTCTTCAGCAGAACGCTCTTGCCCGGTTTTAGCGCCGTTGTGAGCCCAGGGAGACCGCTGCGGAGGATGACGCTATGGATGCACCACTCCAGGAACAGGCGGCGGTCGTCGTCGAGATTGGGCATCGGACCGTCTGGCAGCAGGGTGAGGAGGCGATCCAACCTCGGCCGGTCAAAAGGCTCTCCCGGCGCTCTCTCGGCGATCTGGCGAGTGAACTGGGCCGAGGCGAGAAGCCCGCTCTCATGCGACGACCCGTGCGTGGTCTGCCTGGCTCTTGCTCGCAAACGGTCGCCTCGTTCGCCCGGCTCCTGGAGCAGAAAGACGTCCTCGTCGCCGATCCCCGGCCACGGAGGCTTGGTCTGCATCCGATGCACTTTTGCACCGACCGAGGGCGTCGCAAAGAAGCAGTCGACGTGGGAGTTCAGGATGCAGTCGGCCGTGACAAGGTTGCACCACACCCGCCGGCCCAGCTCGCGCAGGGCTAGGTCCTGCTCTTCGAAGCGCGGCACCCACACGCTTGCCCAGCCACGCATCACTTCGAGCCAGTGCTCGCTGTCCTTTTTGTCCTGCTCTTCGGTGTGACTGACGTTTGCACGTTCTTCCTCCTTGTCGAGATCATCCAGCAGACTGCCGAGCCTATCGATGCCCATGGAATGCCCGAGTCGGATCGCGGTGAGGTTCCAGACGGTGCAGTGGCTAAACAACATACGCTCGAACCAGTAGAGGCGCATGAGGGCGATGGTCTGCAGGGTCCACAGACTCGGCTGCTGCAGGTAGTCGGACTGCTGGAGCATGCTCATGGCGGCGTCATGGAGCGATGCTTGGCTCAAGACAACCTCTTCGGGGGTGTCGCACTCCACAAGCTGCCTGGCGATCACTTCAGAGACGGGCATGTGGTGAAGCACAAGTACGAGCAAAGACAGGCCCATGGCGATGAGCACGCGCTGGCGGGGCGGCGAGATGGAGGACGCGCCCGGTGCTGTGCGGCCGCGTCTGTCGCCGTCCTCGTCGACCTCCAAGACGGCTCGCAGCGGCTTGCTGAGGATGGAGGTGATGACATCGACAAAGAGGCCCATGTGATGGCGCAGCAGGACGGTGTTGAACAAGGCCACCGTTGGCTCGACACGATCGATGTAGAACTCCATCGCCTCGAAGATCTTGTCCGGCTGGGGACACATCTCGGCCACGGCATACACCTGCGAGGCCAGGCCGGGATCGCTGCTGGATGGCAAGGTGGACGCTTGCTTGTCGGCTGGTGACGTGTTAGACTTGCCTTGTGAAGGCTCTCCGCCACCATCGCTCACCTGCGCCTCTCGTTGTCCTCCGCATCACATGGGCGTTTCCGAAGGCGTCGAACGCGTTCACTCTGATCGGCCTGCGTGGCAAAGAAGGAGGAGCGTGATCTCCACCGGTCGTGAAAGGGATGCGCTCGCCGCCCTCGAGCCTTGCGCGCTTCTTCTGATGGCCCTCCGTGCGAGCAATGACCTTGGCCTTGTACGTGCAAGTTGCTCCCAAGCCTCGCGACAGACAGCTGAGGCAGGCCGGTCTCACTGCATCGCACTTGATCTTGCGCGTCCGGCACTCATCGCAAGCATGCTTGCGGGCGTGCTTGGCCGCCTCGCCTTGGACCTGCACGCTTTCGGACATTGGACCCTTTCCGCACCGCGGCGAGTGATTTCATGGAGAGAGAGTTTGACAGATCCGAGCTGGTGAACAGAAACATGCGCACCTGCGCTGCACGCATGAGTGTAATCAAATGACCTACTTTGTATTCCAGGCACCTTATCTCCTTGTGACACGTGGACGTCCAGCCTCGACAGGGAGAGCTACCGGTAGCGCACGCCACAAAGTTCGGTCCTACGTCTCTAAAATCCGACGCCGCGGCGAGATGAAGAACCCATCGCTAGGTCCGCTTTTTGAAGCGCTCAACGGTGGCCATGTATGTGTCGATCAATCTGATGTAGTGTTCCTCCCCGCGGATTACTCCTTGAGCGCACTTGTCAGGCATGAGCATGAGCGACGCCGTTTTCTTCCACGCTGTGACGAGCAAACACATAAATACTGCGGTTATGAATGGGACGGCTTCCTCCTCATTGCCCATCCAAATACCTCCAAGTTCCCAGCTGAGCAGCCACCCTCCTACTTATAAGCACTCAGAAGGTCCGCCAGATGTCTCGCAAGTTGGTCACCGTTTTCGGCGCCACGGGCAACCAAGGCGGCAGCGTGGCAAGCCTCCTGCTGAGGGATGGCGCCCTCAGGGCCAAGTACGCGGTGCGAGTCGTCACCAGGGACAGCAGCAAGCCGGCCGCCAAGGAGCTCGAGAAGCTGGGTGCCGAGCTGGCTCAAGCAGATCTGAAAGATGTTGCTTCGGTGAGCGCTGCGATCAAGGGGTCGTATGCCGTTTTCGGTGTCACAAATTACTGGGAGTCCATGTCGAGCGACAAGGAAGTGCAGCAGGGCAAGAACATCGTAGACGCCTCGGTCAAGGAGGGTGTCAAACACCTCGTGTGGTCGAGTCTGCCTAACGCCACGCTCGTCTCCGGCGGTCAGCTGGTCCACGTACAGCACTTCGATGGCAAAGCGGCTGTGCAGGCCTATGCTGAGGAAAGCAAAAAGAATGCCAAGGACCTGTGGACGACATACTTCATGCCGGCCTACTTTCTCTCCAATCTCAAGACGTCAATCGTTCCAGGCCAGCAGGGCGTCCCGACCTGGAATGCGCCCTTCGATGCCGAGAGGACCAATGTGCCAGTGATCGACATCAACGCCGACACGGGCAAGTTCGTCGCCGGGATCCTCGAGGCGGGCCAGGAGGCCGATGGCGTGCAGGTGCAGGGTGTAAGCCAGTGGGCCAGCCCATCGGAGATCGTCCAGACGTTCAACGATGCGATTGGGAAGCAAGTGGCATTCAATCAGATCCCGCTGGACATCTTCAAGTCCTTCCTGCCCCCCGCAGTGGCAGATGAGCTGGGCGAGAACATGGTGCTGATCGGCGACTACGACTATTACGGCAAGGGCACGCGAGAAAAGCAGGCCCAGAGCGACCGGTTCCTGTATCGTGGAGCTGGTCCGACCGTGACCCTGGCCCAGTTTATCATTCAGAATGGCCCCTGGAGCTTCTGATCGAACGTCTTCTGTATGGCAGAGTACATAGAGCAGCCCGGTCTGAATAGAATCTTCGTCTGAGCGCCTTCCTTCCGAACTCGTCGCTCTGACAACAACCAGACTGCCAGCTTCTAAAGCCGCACGCGAGCTCCAACCAAATCACGAAGAAGCAGAAGTTCTTTCAGAATCGACGAGCTAGCTCCGGTACATGAGTATCAAGCCTGTTCAGAATCCAAGAAAAGGACTGTGTTTGCATATGAAGGGTGCGGGGAGCTGGAGACGAAAGACCAGCTGACCTTACCAAGACAATGAGGCCTGAGGGCGGGCAAAGTCGCCCGAATAAGGCTTACCTCTCTCGCTGGACAGGTCGCCCGTAGGCTATGAAGAATAACCCACGCGATGATAGTGAAAGAAAGATATGCAAGGCTGCAGTATCAATGAGCCGCCCGATAGCTTGCGCCGAGCATGCGGCGTCGAAAGCTGCGTCCCCGCGGCGCCAGAAAAAGGAACCAGAGAGGAATAGAGCCAAAGGCCGCCTTAAGTCCGGCCGAGACAGGAATACATTACTGTACAAGGTCGAGAGGAGAGGGAGCTACAGTCCGATGCATGCGCATCGAACGCCCTGTCGCGACGGCGCACGAATCCGAGCTGTGTGACGTCTGGTTGTGGCTTCCCAAATCGCGCCGAATCCGGCCGTAAGAAGCGTGCCTGGTTCCTGTCTCCGGGGGAAATCAATTCCGCGGCGAGTGGCGCGCGTCAGATTAGGATCCTTTTTGGCAACGGCAGACGGGAAGATTGCGTCGGTGGTCACTTTTGGAAGATGGGCTTGCTATATATAAAGATAGCCATAGCTGGCGCTGGAGACTGCATTCCAGCAAGAGTCAGTATCTCACCTTGACAAGCACACAACACAATGAGCTCGGCCACCTCAGCCCAAGCTTGGCAGTACACCAGCCCCAGCGGGGGCGTGGAGCGCAACCTCAAGCAGGTCACCGTTGCATCGCCCACGCCCAAACCCAATCAGCACCTGGTCGAGGTGCTGGCCGCATCGCTCAACCCAGCCGACTACAAGCCCGTCGAGACGCCTGTTGTTGGCCGATTTCTCGTGCCAAACCCTGCCACGCCGGGCGCCGACTTTGCGGGCCGAATCGTGATCCCAAGCGCCAGCTCCGACTTCAAGCCGGGTCAAATGGTGTTCGGAAACGCAGGTACCTCGCCATTTGCAGGCGGTGCCCTGTCGCAGCTGGCATTGGTGGAAGAAGACCACCTCGCCCTCTTGCCCAACGGCATTAGCCCGGTGGAGGGCGCATCCGTCCCCGTGGCGGGGCTTACTGCGCTGCAGTCGCTCGAGCCCTACGTCAAGAGCGGCAATCGCGTGTTCATCAATGGAGGATCCGGTGGCACAGGGGTGTTTGCTATTCAGATCGCCAAGGCACTCGGCTGTCACGTTACCACGACTTGCTCGACCGCCAACGTAGAGTTCTGCAAAAGCCTAGGCGCCGATGTGGTGATCGACTATCGCAAAGCGGATGTCCTTGACGCGTTGAGCAGGTATCGCTTCGACCATGTCGTCGACAACATCGGCAACGATCTGGCATACTACTTTCAAGCTCACAGATACACGACGCCTGAGGCCGTGTACGTGCTTGTCGCAAAGAATCCTTCGCTCGGCTTTGTGCTCAACATGATCCGATCATCGCTTCCTGCATTACTTGGCGGCGGTCAAAGGACCTTGGTCAACATGATGTCCACGTCGAGTCAACGAGAGCTGGACACGATGGCTGCCTGGATGAAGGAGGGCAAGGTGAAAGCGATCATCGACTCGACATACACCTTCGACCAGGTCCCCACTGCCCTCACGAAACTTAAGCTTGGCCGAGCTCGCGGAAAGATTGTCATCAGAGTGAATGATGCAGCCACCGAGTGATCCTTGTCCCTTACCTTGGTTCAGCTCTGCATGTTGCACTCTCATAGAGGTCTTTATCGCTGTGGATGCCCATATCAATAACAAATACAGTTCTCTGAAGCAGTGGCAACCACGCTTTTTCTTTCTACATCTCCAATAGACCCAACTTTTTCGACCGAGAGAGCAGCGCCCGTGGAGTGACACTTGTGAAGCCCAGCGGTTCTACCGTCGCTGCGGAGAAGCAAATGTGCAGGCTACAGGTTGATCTTGGACCCTCGCGTACAGCGCGTCAATGAAATGACTCTTCAAGCAGTGCCTTTATGAATTCGCAGATAGACAAACAACGGACCTGGCATTGGAGAAAGTGCATAGGAGACCTCGTATCCAGTAAAACAGGCAATGAGAACGCTATATCTTGCCTTTGCCATTGATGAAGCTGCGAAACAACGTGAGCATGCCTCGTCTCGCTGGAAAGATCACATGACCCTGGCACTCACGAGACTCTCCAATCGCCCTGCGTGGGCTCTTGGGAGAGCTTCCAGACCATGTCGGCATGTCCTGGGCCTGTGATTTTGCCGTAGGCTGGCGCTCCGTCTGCAAGACGTTCGTCTATGTAATAGAACCTGGACCGAGACCATCAGTCGTACAGACAAAGGCATCAGGAATCGCAGTGCAGCACGCACTTATAGCCCTCGGCTCCGAACGTCTGCGAAGCTGCATCAATGAAATGAGCTGCAGCGTGCTTGCCGACGGCCCCGGTCAAGAGCCCAGGAGGTGTCTTTGGGAACGCCTTGGGGTCGTCGAGACCATTGCCTGTGTATATAAAGGCCTTGGGGACCGACGCAGGCAGGCCTTTGAAGTCACCTGTGGGCTTAGAGTAGTCAGCAATCATGCTTCTCACGACGGTTGGTGACACCCACGGACAGCCTCGCGAGCTAGCGCGAATAAGGACAGCGCATTGATCTCTTGATCTCTTCTCAGGTCATCCACAGACACCTGGAAGTCAAAGAACTTGTCGGTGCTTGAATTGGCCGCGGCTGCACCATCTGATCAGTAGAGACGAATTGCAAGGCCACGTTTGCCTCACCATTGTAGAAGACAACGCTGATCGGCGTGGAAAAGTCTTTTTTGATCTCGTTCCACACTCTGACCGCATCTTCTGCCCATCCGAGATCTGCGCTGTATCGACGCAGCGAACCTTTGAACTTCTCAGCCTCTTCGTCGAGGCTCTTTGCGCCCGATCGGGATACCACCGCGACTTGATAGCCTTCGCGGAGGAATTGGAGTGCCACGGACTTGCCGACTCGTTGGCCTGCACCGAAGATGGCTGCTAGCTTGGTCATTGCGAAGAAGATGAAGTCAGCTTTGGGTCTGGAGTGGTCAGCTCGGCATGCCGTCTATATACGCGAGCTAGGCTGGATGACCGATCGCTCGACAGTCTTTACGAATACGCGCCCATTTCAACTCAGCGTGTCAACGGCCGTAAGGATGGATCACGCTTGCTGGAAAATGCGCTAGCAAGGGACTCAGTCAAATAACGCCATAGTAAGCTCTCGCCTTTCGTCCGCCTTGCGTCTTCCTCGGCACCAACATCGAGGTACCGAAGGATGCGGAGCGTCTCGATCACTATAGCATGTCATCGTTTTGATTAAGCAAAACTCATTACTCATCACTCTGATCAGTGAAGTCGAGATTCTTTAGATCATCTTTTACGCTCGGCCCCGAGAATGTCTTTGGCGAAGAGCAACGCCGCTGACAGCCTTTCCACTCTTTCACGGCAAATGAGTGAGGCCAGCGACCTCAAAGTTGGCGTACGGCCGTTGCAAGAACCGTACTGTGATGTTGAGGATCTTGCTTTTGTCCAGTGTGCAGAGGTCATCCACTGCCGTGACTCCGCACCGTAATCTTACTGGTCACAATGCGCAGCACCATGGATCAAGGAGACTAAGCTCAGCAGTCATCAGAGGATCCACCAAGAGGTCAGTCACAGAAGCGTTGTGCTCTATGCACCCTCTACACCAGTCCAGCAGTGTGTCTACCACCAGATCTCCGGTCAGTGCCTATACTTCGGGCCGGCCGAGTGGTTCACCCTCTAGCACTCCAAGAAGGTCTCCTGCGCTGTCAACCGCTACGTCAATGAAATCCGTTGTGTCTCTGGCTTCCTTGACCACGTCCTGCAGAAGAAGAAGCTCCTTGTCGGCGGCAAGCTCAGCTATGCCGATGCGGCATCTGTGACGGGGTATGCCATCATCTTTCTTTTCGCTGACTGATTTACCGTCGAGAAGGAGTTCGCTTGCCCTGTGCCTGGCTAGAATGTAGCAAAGCCCGTCCAGCTATTGCAAAAAGCCTGCAAGACCGGGAAGCGGCTATGAAGGTTCATCGTGTCGGGATTCAGGAGCGCTTGTCTGGCCAGATCCACTACATCGCCTACCTTGACCCGCCCGAACCATCAAACAAACTTGGTACCCTACCTCGCTGAGCTGCACTACACGAGACAAACTGCGGAACCCGCTCGCTTTTGCCTTTTCACAAATGGCCCTGTCGCTGCGCAGGCCTCACTTACCTTAGTGGACAAGGACCCGGACAAATGGAATGGGCCGAGCGCGCCACAGCCGCTGACCTTTTTTTTTTGAACCGGTGAATTTGCGAAAAAGGAAAAGTGGCCGGCTCCTGGAGCCCCGCTCCTTCTCCACGTCCGTTTCTTATTTTCCGGCCCGACCCCGGACTGCAGCATGACCCTCAAATATGAAGAGCCTCTAGTGAAAGACTAGAAGGACCTCTCTCTTTTCGACCCATCACCAAGCATGGCTGCGCTCCCACAAGCTGTTCCTTTTGGTATCTGCACCCGCTCGCTCGGCCGCTCGGGCGGCGGGCACTACATCCCTGACATTCTCGACGAATGCGCCAGGAATGGACTGTGGACGATCGAGGTCGCCTATGAAAGCCTCGAGGTGGGTCATTGGCACGCAAAAGCCTGTGGAGATCTCCAGCTGACTGTGTGCACCAGGGCTATGCCAAGACACTCTCTGGTTTCGACGATGTCCAGGACGCCATTCGCGAAGCAGCTCGTCTGACAAGTCTGCGGGCCCGTGCTCTGGGTCTAGCTCTTACCGTCCTCGACGCCTTCGAAGGGTACGAGGGACTGATCGATCGCAAAGAGCACGCCGAGAAGGTCGAGTCATTCAAATTCTGGGTCGAGCTTTGCGGCATCATGGGCATCGAGTACATTCAGATTCCGGCCACGTTCCACCCTGCAGATATCGCCTCTGGAGATGAGAAGCTCATCATCGACGACTTGAGAGTGGTGGCAGATATTGGACTCTCTGTGACTCCTCCCGTCAAGGTCAGTCGAGTCTGAAATTGTGCAGACGAACGCTGGACTGCTGACCCGAGCTCGTGCCAGATCGCATACGAGCCGCTTGGATGGAGTACGTACGTCAAGACGTGGGAGTACGCCCTCGAGCTTATCCACAAAGCGGACAGAGCCAACCTCGGACTCTGTCTGGATACCTTTCATATCGCGTCTCTCCTCTCGCACAGCCCAGAAACCGCCAACGGCCTCCGAGAGGGTGGCAATGCCGCTCTCAAGGCGTCCCTCGATGTGGGTAAGAGCTTCTTTGGTGAGCAAGAGCATGCGGCTAACATGATGCAACTGCAGCGCCTTCGCAAAGTGGATCCAAAGGACATTTTCATCTACCAGCTGTCGGACGGCACCTTTTTTGACCCCCCTATCCCGCACTCAAAGCACACCGAGCCAAAGCTCGATCCCCTCTTTGCTTGGAGCATGCACGGTCGGCCTTTCCCCGGCGAGGGCTACTTTCCTGTCGTTGAGATCTCGGACGCCGTCTTCGCAACGGGGTTCAGGGGACCGACCGTCCACGAGACCTTTGAAGACGATGGCTTTGACCCGAGACAGACCCTTCTGGCTGAGCGCGCCAACCGCGCCGTCGGTTCGTGGGTTCGCTTGAGCAAGGACCTCGGTCTCGCACCATTCCACCCTCCGACGCGCAAGGGTCAGAATAAGCTCGGAACGTGCACCGTCAACATTGGTTCCTTTGAGCACTTTACGCTCGAGGACAAGCTGTACGCGTGCGCCTCGGCCGGCCACCAGGCAATCGACCTCTACGAAGACGACTTTCTGCATTACATGTCGCTCGTCCCGGGTGCCAACAAGCAGAACCTATGGGAGCCCAACCCAATCCACCTCGCTGCAGCGAAGAAGATCGGAGACTTGTGCGCGTCTCTGGGAATGGAGATCATCTGCTTCCAGCCGCTCATCGACGTCGAGGGCCTTACGAAGCAGGCAGACCGCGATGCTGCTGTCCAGCGCGTCAAAAACTACTTTCCGTACATGCGTGCCCTCCGTACCGACGTCACGTACATCACCACCAACCGCTCGTACGACTTTGACAGCCACACCGAAGACATGAAGGTCATCGCAGCCGATCTGGCCCACTTTGCCGACTTGGCCGCCGAGTACTCGCGGGCCGATGGAGGGCCAATGCTCAAGATTGGGTACGAGCACCTCTCGTGGGGATCACACATCAACACATTCGACAAGGCGTGGGAAGCCATCGCACTCGCCAACCGGCCCAACCTCGGATTCGTCTTTGACACCTTCAACTTCCTCGCTGTCGAGTATGCGAATCCCTACAACCCAGCTGGACACGGCCGCATCCACGACACGCCTGAAGAGTCGCTCAAGGTCGTCCACGAGCGCCTCGCCAAGCTTGTCAAGACGATTCCGGGGGAGAAAATCTATGTCGTCCAGGTCGCAGACGCTAAACTTGTTGAGCCCTCGTCGCTCAAGCCGCCGACAGCGGCGACCGAACGGTGGACACCCGATCACGAACCCCCTCACCGTCAGTGGTCCACTTCTCACCGCCTTTTCCCAAACGAAGGGGCGCTCGGAGGATACATGCCGGTCTCAGACTGCCTCGCAGCTGTTCTGGCAACGGGGTACAAGGGCGCCTTTACACTCGAGATCTTCAACGACTCGATTCATGTCAACGAGCCCTTCGTCGTGCCGACGCACGCCAAGCGCTCGTTTGCCGGCGTCGAGGCCTGCGTGGCCGATGCAAAGTGTGAGCTCCTTGCCGATAACCGTTCGTCCGCCCTTGCTGATCATTACTCCTACGTGCTTCCTGCAGTGGTCAAGCCGTTCTGGTAAAAGAGGAAAGTACTGCCCGATTTTAAACACAAGCGAGGTGACCCATGTAGAAGAGGCAGATTGGTCAGACTGGCCTATTCTATCAGACTGGGCAAAAGCATATCGATCTATTGGGAGCAGCTTGAGGTGAGAAGAGGTATGGCCAAGGTACAGTAGATTTCATTGAGGAGCTCGAGCTCAGACTTCTCGAAGACACTCCGAAAAAGTAGTCTACCTCAAGCGACAATGTATCCAGCATCCATGTTGAAGTCGGTTCCGTTGCAGTAGTCTGAGGCGTCTGAGGCGAAAAAGAGTACAGCGGAGCCGACCTCGTCGACACGTCCGAAGCGGGGCCAGGGCGTTTGCGAGCGGTAGTTGACGCACTTGCTTGGGTCCGCACTGCAGACCCGGGGCGTGGTCAGCGTCGCTGTAGGTGAGAGTTCAAGACGGCAAACTTAACTTACAGTTCCTGGGCATTAAGTGCGGTGGCGATGATTCCTGGCGAGACTGTGATGCTCTTGATTCCTTGACGCCCGTAGTCGACGGCAAGGGCCTTGTTGAGCGACACGAGAGCACCTTTGGTGGTGCAGTACGGCGCCTTGTCAGGCGCACCGTGGTGAGCTGCGTTGGAGGCAATGGTGATCACCGTGCCGCGAGTGCTTCCCGGACGCGCCTCTTGTGCGAGCATAGTGGGCATCACGGCTTTGACGCCAAGGAAGACGGCGGTCAGGTTTACGTCCATGATCCGGTTCCACTGTGCAAGGCTGTGTAGAACGCATCAGCAGTCAGCGCTGACCTCGACAGACGAGCAGCAAGAGACGCACGTGCACTCGTGGAGTGGTCCCACTTTCCCAAGAATACCGGCATTGTTGACGAGACTGTGGCAGGAATGGTCAGCATGAGACCGAGCGAGCGAGTCAGTCCGTGCGCTGCTCACATGTCGATGCGACCGTTGAGCTGGAGCGCAGCCGCAACCACCTTTTCCCATGTCTCCTCCTTTGCAGCGTCGCCCTGGACAAAGGCAGACTGGACCTTGTAGATGTCACGGACGAGGTCAATCGTCTGAGGCTGATCCTCCTCGAAGCCCTGCATAGACAAGAATGAGCAAAGAGCTAAGCTTCTCTGAGCAGGTTGGGCCTTACCTTTGGCTGGTGGGGGTTTAAATCGACTCCCACGACTGCAGAGAAGAAAAAATGAGCGGCTGAGAGTGAGAAGCTTGGAAAGAGGCTACTGACTATTCACTCCAGCCTCGGCGAGGGCAATGGCAATCGCACGGCCGTTCCCGCTCGAGGAGCCAGTGATGATGGCGGTGCGTCCAGTAAGGTCGTATGGGGCAGGCATTGTGCAGATGGAGAGAGTGGCAGACTGTGGTGGGGAAAGAAGACCCAGAAGATTGATCCCCGCGGGCATTTATCGTTGCGGATCGGTCCGGGGTACTTGCCGACCATTGCGCCTGATGAGGTGAGGCTGCACGTATCCCCGTATTCTCGTGAGCCAAGTCCGGGCCCGGCCGCTCTAATTATATTCGCCGTGTCCGACTTCATACTCCGGCCGTGCCACCGAGGGACTACAGTAGTGACTTGCTATTTATACCTCGAGCCCTCGCTGTGTCCGCTTCTTCTTTTCTCGTCCCATCAACAAGTTCACAGCCGAGTCTCACCCCACAGTCAAGTCTCAGCCAGCCTACTGCAAAGATGACCTTCACCGTTCTCATCACTGTCTGGCGCAAGCCTGGAATGTCGATGGAGGCATTCTACGACCACTACGAAAACGTGCACATGCCCTTGATCCGCGAGCTGGCCGGCGACAAGATTCCCATCAGCCACAACCGCCTCTATGTGGAGCGCACTGGTACGGAGCTCAAGGAGCGCATGGTGCAGCCCTCGGAGTGCGGCGATGGCATCGACTACGACGCTGTGGCGGAGCTCAACTTTGAGGACGAGGCCCACAACCTCGCCTACTGGAAGGTCCTCTACGCCCCAGAGGCACAGGGAAGGCTGACCGAGGACGAGTACAAGTTCATGGACCGGTCCAAGCTGCGCATCGTGTCGATGTACAAGAAAGAACTGATGATTCGCAAGTGAGTCGAAGCTGCGAGGAGACCGGCCTCTTGACTCACGTGATCTCTTCTCCCTGCAGTGACTTCCACGCCGGCAAGGACAGCGTCGAAAAGTACTCATTCCTGCCCCACGGAAAGTTCGCATGAACGGGTGCGCTCCCGAGTCTGCAGTTGGCATATTCTTCCTTCTCAGTGCCACATTCACCTCAATGTACAAATCACCATACTTTTTCACCTGCACCTGACGACTTGCACGTCCACACTTGACTTGAAAATAACCCTAAGAGCATCGCATCCATACAAGCCTTTCTTGCTTTGAAACGGCAATTTTCGCGACCATAGACGAGGCGGCCACTGCTAGTGTCCTTAAGGTTCTGAAAGCAGCTACACACCGCAGAAGGCAAGGGAGATGGCAAAGTGGTCTGACCAAGATGTCCACGAAATGAGCCGTGTGGAGAGATGAACAAGCGGACGGAGCAAATGAGGTGGATAGGATTCGTGGGGGACACGGAGAATAGAATACCTCTCCGTGTCGTTGGTGCGGGGACGATGGTATTCTCCGTTTTTGCATCAAAAAGCCTAGACTCCCCAAAGCCACCACAGGAAAATCTTAGATCCGCTCATCTCACACCTGCCTCGTGAACGACTCTGGATCTGCTCAAATTGACCGGTCCTGCGCCTTGCTAGAGTGGGCTTCATCGACCCCCCGATGCGATTTCGGCCGGTTCTTCAAGGTGCTTGTGGCTGAAGGGTCGTCACTCCGACGTCATTATTGGCCGTCTCCGGTCTCGGTATCAAGCTCCCAATTTCTCCGGCTGGCATTATGCCGTACCATGTCCCGCACCGCGTACCATTTGCGGAGCCCCGCATTATTTACGGCACCAGGCACGGAGCCCCCTTTCGAAGCCACGGCAGGGCTCGCCTCTGGCCAATTGTGATTTAAGCTGTCACTTTCCTGCCATTTTTTTTTCGTCCATCCCCAGAAAACCCATTCTCCTTTACCCACCATAGCCTTTGGGTCACCAGAATGACATCCTCGCTCGACGCCAAGGACACAAAGGTCTCAGACCAACAGATCCAGTCCATCGGATCCGTCGATCTCAACGTCATTGACATGAACGGACACGATCTCAATGTTGTCGGTGTTCGCGACGACTTGATTATCGCAGACGGAGAAAAAGATGTGAGCTTAGCTGTTTATTGCCACAGATGATCATCAATTGACCAGCCGTTCCTTGTCAACAGATCACCGGCTTCGTCTGGTATCTTTCTGCCGTCGCAGGTATCTCTGGCTTCCTCTGTGAGTTGCAACTCGATTCAAGTACGCCGAGAACCCGTCGCTGACCTGTTACGTGCTTGCAGATGGTTGGGACACTGCCGTCGTCGGTGGCGCGCTCGCAAATATCGGAGACGCGCTCGGCCACGAACTCAATTCGGTCGAGCAAGAGTGGGCCGTCGCTTCGCTCTCCGCTGGCGCCATCGCTGGTACGCTGATCGGTGGTTCTCTCTCCGACAAGTGAGTCATGAGCGACCTTCCTCAAGAGATATGAACACAAGCTGACGATAGTGCCACGGTCAGGATTGGCCGCAAGGGTGTGCTCATGATCGGAGACGTCCTCTTCCTCCTCGGTGGCATCATCATCTGCGCTGCCTACTCGCTCGCGCAGTTCATCGTCGGCCGAATCCTCATGGGTGGCGGTGCCGGTATCGCCGCGGTCATCTGCGCCGTCTACCTCGGCGAGGTTGCGCCGAGCATGCACCGTGGCCGCATCGTTGCCGTCCAGAGCGTCCTCATCACGGGTGGACAGCTCTGTGCATATGCCGTCAGCGCTGGGCTCGAGAACGTCAACCACGGGTGGCGCATCCTCTTCGCACTCAGTCTTCCCTTCGCGCTCGGGCAGGGTATCGCCATGCACTGGCTTCCCGAGACGCCCCGTTTTGCGGTCCTCAACGGCAACCCCACCGACGCTCGCCGCACCCTTTGCCGCATCTATCCCAAGGCATCCGAGGTGCAGGTCGACCTGAAGCTCAAGGCCATCGAACTCGCCACCGAGGTCTCTGTCTCACTCAAGAAGAAGCATCCCTCCATCATGGGCCGCATCTATGCCGTCTGCACGACGCCCTCTTACCTCCGTTGCGTCACCTGCGCCGCCGTCGTCTTCCTTGGTCAGCAGCTCTCGGGCTGGAACTCGTTCCTGTACTACTCGAGCACCCTCTTCGGAGCAGCAGGCTTCAGCAACACGTCGGCTGTCGGAATTCTCGTCGCGGGCATCAACTGCCTCTTCACCGTCTTTTCCATGTTCACCATGGACAGGATCGGTCGCCGCCGCATGTTCCTCATCGGCGTGCCCATCATGACAATCGCCCTCGCCATTGCCGCCGTCGCCTTCCACTACATGACGCTCAGCACCGACGGCCAGCTCCTCGACGGACAGGACTATCCGACCAAGTGGGTCGGGCTCATGCTCGGCATGATGTGCTTCTTCATCGTCGGCTATGCGCCCTCCCTCGGGACAATCGCCTACACGACCATCGAGCTGATCCCGCTCGAGGTGCGCGGTATTGGGTCCTCCATCGCTGTGGCCTTCCAGTGGGGTGGCAACCTCATCATCAGCTCCACCTTCCTCACCATCCTCAAGTCCATCGGCGCTGCGGGGACGTACGGCCTCTTTTCCGGATTCTGCTTCCTCACATTCGTCTTCATCTACTTTTGCTACCCGGAGTCGGCTGGGCTCACACTCGAGGAGACGGGGACGCTCTTCCTCGACGGCTTTGGCGTCAAGAAGGCAGACCAGATCCGTCTGGTCAAGAGCAACAAGAGGGACCTCGAGGGTTCGGGGTCCGACCCGTCGCCTTTCGTGGACGACAAGTAGTTCCTCTACGAACTGATGATGTGTTTCTTGACTTGTATTGTACTTTTGGACGTCTTCGTGGGCAATGCGCATGCAATCAATGTGTCCTCTTTCAAGATGAGATGTGATTGACAATGCAAAGTCCGCCACGCTCCACCTCGCAAGGCCGGACACGATTGAGTCTAGATGAAAATGCCCAGTCAGCATTTTTTGCAAGAACACGCTCGTCGCGACTACTCCTGGCAGGGCATCACATTTCAAAGAATCAGTTTCCCGTTACTTCAAAATTGCAGAGGATGAAATTAACAAAACACGTCTTATTCCTTCCTCCAACGGCCAGCAGCTGCAGCGCTCATTGCAGGCTGACGTAGTAGTTTGCGAGCGACTTTTTCTTCTGCTCATCCGCTTGGGCTGTCGTCAGAAGGACATAGTCCTTCTTCAAGTGCCAGAATGGTCCGTGTTTGAAACCATGCGCTTTGGCCTTTGCCTCGTCCTCGACGAGAACCGGGTCAACGATGAGAGACGTCTTGACACCAAAGACGGCGTCGCTGTGGGAGCGTTCGAGATTGCATTAGTCGAATGCAGGAACAGAGAGCAGACACACTCACGATTTGAGGTAACGGTCGCCCTTGAAGTACAGTGCAGTAATCAGCGTCTCGTATCCATCGCGGTAGAACATCCTGCGAAGCAAGGCAGTGCCTCGAGTCAGCTCATTATGCGCAAAGACAGAGGCGCGCAAGAAGAGGACGTCGCTCACATGTGCAAGTGAGCTGGGCGGAACACATGACGGTTCAGCGTCTTGAGAAGGCCTCCGACTGGCCCGTCGTTTGGGATTGGGTACGGAGTGGGGAGAATTGCGCGGTACTGCAAAGGGAAGCTCATGTAAGCAGTCACATCGAGAGCAAGGTAGCCAAACCCACCGAGTAGTATCCATTTTCGTCCGAGGTGAGCCTTCCACGGCAGTCTGCTTCTGTGCGGCCCTCGTACTGGGTGTCGTACCTGTGGAAATGCAGCACGTCAGAACACGACTCTCGAACAACGAGAAAGGAGGAAACGACGTACAGGCCGTCGTCGTCTGTCTCCCAGGTCTCAATCTTGCAGTTTGGCACGGGCTTGCCCTCGACATCCAGAATGCGGCCCTCGCACCACATATACTCGCCTTTTCCCTCCGACGCAATCGATTCTCCCGCAGAGAGCTTGTTCAAAAAGGTCAGCGCCAAGTAAAAGTGCCCTAGCGAACAATGATCGCCTCACCTCCTTTGCGTCCTCTGTGAAGAAGGGACCAAGCACTGTCCCCTCGGTGGCTGGTGCCACGACGGGGTGATTCATCGAATCAACCAGCGCAGACAGGCCGAGCACGTCGGAAAGGAGGATAAATTCCTGGCGAATGTCGGAGCAGATCTTGCCGGTCGCAGTCAAGAAGTGGATGGCGGACCTGTAGGTCAGTGTCAGCTTGGTAGGCGCAGGAGCTGGACTGTACACACATCCACTCGTCGGTCGTCAGGCTGACTTCGCGAGCAAAGTCGTGGAGATGCGTGACGAGCTTCTCAAAGACGAACTTCTGTCTGCCGGGGCTGTCAGATCTTTCTCCCAAGGTTTCCTATGAAGACTACGCTCACCTTGGGTTCTCACAGAGAGCATTGATCGCATGCACGTTGGCAGTGATCGACGAGGGAGACATGTCGACAAGGTCGGGCAGGCGGTTCTGCACGACGGGACAAGTCAGCCGAGCACAGGGAAGCAGGGTCTTCGAGCCGCACGCTCACCAGATCGATGTTTGGGGCGCCTGCCTTGATTGCCTCGAGGACAGCCTTGCCCACCTGCGAATGAATGAAGGGCAGGGTCAGCATGCGCCGGTCAGCCTGACGAATGCGACTCGAAAATACTCTCACCTTCTTTGTCGGAACAGATTCGCTGGCTGGGATTGACATGATGATAGCTTCGTCTGTGATGGTGGAGTGGCGGGGAAGGGAATGGTCAGACGTGGAATGAAATACTTTAAGCTTTTGCTGCTTGGATCCGGGGTGGGGCCGCTTTCCACGGTGTCGCCGTCCAATTGACCTGAGCGCAACGTGCCGCCGCATATTCCTTTTCCCCGCACCGACTCGCTTCCAGCGTCTGGCTCATGCCGGGTCCAGCGCCGACACTCGGAGTCTGATGGGATACTCCACGCCACGTCCGTGTTCTTTGGGGTTGAGTCGGACATTTTTGCTGAAATTGGCCGTTTAGAGCCGGTGCAGAGAGATGGAAAGGTTCAAATTGGCCGCGCGCACACCTCGAGCACAACCTTCTCCTCTTCCGCGTCCTCCACACCCCCACAAGATGCAGCCATTCGTCTACAACGCGCTCCCAGCTCGGGTCATCTTTGGATGGGGAACGTCGAGCAAGGTGGCCGACGAGGTCAAGCGGCTCGGATGTGTGAGCGTGCACAACCCACCCATGAGGCACACAAGCTGATACCCACAGCGGCCTGCAGAGTCGCGCTCTCGTTCTCACGACCCCACAGCAAGCCCCATCGGGCGAGAAGGTCGTGGCCAGCCTCGTGAGCTTCTTGTTTGCCTCCTGCTTTGTCTGAATCCTGCCTGTGCTGAGCTGTGCTGCACACAGGGCGATCTCGCCGTCGGACTGTACACGAATGCGACGATGCACACGCCCGTCGAGGTCACTCGAGATGCGCTGAAGAAGGCGCAGGAGCTGCAGGCGGACGTATGCGTGAGTGTGCTCTCTCTTTGTTCTCCATCCTCGCCTCACGGGCCATCGCACATTGCAGATCGCAGTCGGTGGCGGCTCGACCATCGGACTCGGAAAGGCACTGGCCCTTCACTCCCCTGACTCTGCCAAGCTCAAGCAGATTGTGATTCCCACCACCTGTGTGTAAAGCGACGATGCGTCTTGCTGTATCTCTTGCTGAGAGCGCTCCTTTGCACTCCCGCAGACGCTGGATCCGAGGCCACTCCCATCATCGGCCAGACGGAGGCTGATGTGAACGGCAAGCCACTCAAGACGACGCAGAAGACTCTCAAGGTGTGCCTACCAAGCCGTGCGGTGCTTCAATATGAGCGTCTGCCAACTGTTGTTCTCACAGGTTCTGCCCGATGTTATCCTCTACGACATCGAACTTACTCTCACCCTGCCAGCGCAGATGACGGTGAGTCTCGCTCTTGCACTCTTTGCTGCCTGCGTCGCACTCATTCCGGTCACGTCGCAGATCACTTCTGGCTTGAACGCAATCGCGCATGCCGTTGAGGCACTCTGGGCGCCCGAGGCGAACCCAATCACCTCGAGCCTAGCGGTGCAGGGAATCGAGGCCATCGGTAAGAGCTTGCCATTGATCAAGAAGGATGCAAACGATCGAGACGGCAGGAGCAACGCGCTCTTTGGCGCGTGGGCTTGTGGAACGTGCCTGGGAGCCGTGGGAATGAGTCTCCATCACAAGTTGGTGAGTCTGGCCGAGATGCCTTTGCATGGACTCACTTATGATCGCTGACATCGCCCGACAGTGCCACACCCTCGGAGGCTCGTTTGGAATGCCCCACGCCGAGACACACACCGTCATCCTGCCGCATGCTGTCGCCTACAATACTCCCTTTGCCGAGGAAGCGGTGGACAAGATCGGCCGCGCGCTCGGCCTTGCTGAGGGCGTGTCGACAGCGCAAGGCCTCTTTGACCTCGCAAAGGACAACGGTGCGCCGTACAGCTTGAAAGAGCTTGGGTTCAGAGAGGAGGACCTGGAAAGGGCAGCCGAGATTGCTGCCAAGGCTCCCTAGTGAGTGATTGATCGAATCACACTAGACGCTGATCAGCTTTGCTGACTCGTCGATACACCAGCCCCAATCCTGCTCCGCTGGAGAAGGCAAAGCTGCTCCAGCTCCTGCGCAATGCCTACAACGGGACTCGGCCCGAGTAGCCTGCTTCCTTGCACTCTCCATGTATGCCTTCTGAATGCACAGCGTAACTTGTCGCCGATCTCGCAACACACGATGGCAGGTGGCCTTGTGACTTGTTCTTAAGCAAAGGCAGCAGGATATAGTACAGCACATCAGTTGGGGCGCAACCCTTCTTCGAGTGACTGGTCCAGCCAGCTCCAGTCTGTCGACAGGCCTGGGAAGATGGACTCCCTGCGCGACGACGAAGCGAAAGTCAGCGGGGCTTGTGTAGATATAAGACAAGGCAGACGCACCAGTAGGAAGCGTCGTGAGAGCCAATCAGCGGCGTGTGCATCGAGTCGAGCAGCTTGTTCGACGGCATGCATGCGTCCGTCAGTCGCGGTACTCTGGCTGCCAAGGACACTGACACTCACCTGGGCGTTTTGAAGCGCCTGAACATTACTCGTCGTACGAGTGGTGTTGCCATGGACGGGGTTTGACGGCGTCTCGGGTGTAGCTGCGGGCGAGCAGACGGCCCGGAGGCAGAGTTGGAAGAAGCGCGAGATAAAGGCAGCGGTTGATTCCGTCTGGCCGTCTGCGCAGAGTTCGCATGCGCGGTAGACTGTTCCCAAACCTCTCAGCAACTCCAAGGAGATACTTGGACAAGTCCGGCAGCACTTACTGCGTTCCAGCCATCCGACGATGGCCCGTTGTGTGGCTGCATTTACTCTGGGAAAGATCTGCCCTCACGCAGTCAGTGAACGCCCACGAACACCTCTCTGAATGCCAAACGCATGCCAAAAAACACACACCTTGACGCTGAACTCGCCCATCGAGTAGAGCGTGATGCCAAGCGTGTCCTGCCAGTACTGGATGTAGCCGTGCTTGGCAATGATCTCGAGCGCGTCAACAAAGGCGCCCGAGGCGACGACCCAGTTTGCGAGCAGATCACCATCGATGCCGACGGCAGTCAGCATGGCGCGAGCGAGGGCAAGCGATGCGGCAGCAAGCCAGAAGCTGAGCTCGCCGAGTCAGTACACGGTCTCCACGCACGACGAAGGATTGCTCACTTGACTCTGATCCACGGTCGCGTCTCGGATACAAATGCGTCGGGTGCTGCAAAGGTCAAAGAAGATTCAGCGGTCGACGCTATCCACACGCGAGGCAGGGAACAGAGACACACACAGCGTGGATCGAGGTACTGCTGGTAGGCTGCCTCGAGCGTGCCTTGGACGTGCTCGCCGAGGGCGCGAGCATTCCCCGGACGAGCGCGGAGGATGTCCCGGCTCAGCCGCTGCATCTTGATCCACCTGTGGCGTGTAACGATGTGAGCAGGGCACGCTCGTCTTGATGATGAAGCATAGACTCACTCAAAGTTGGCGCCTTGTTCGAGATCGTCCTCGACACCGAAGCGCTTCGTCTCCCTGAGCCAGCCCTGCACGTTGATTCGATAATGGGGGATCATGCATGTCTGGTGGAAGCCGTCGTCCTCTTCGCCGCTCTGCAGAAAGAATGTCTGGTCGAATGCGCACAGGTCGATCCAGGTCCGCTCGCGGTCGAGGATCAAGCGCGCCTCAAATTCGTCGTCGGGAAGCGGGTTCGGTCGGTGGTTGTGCAGGTGCAGTTGGTAGCCCATGCGAATGGCTTCGCCCACCCTCAGCCACGCGCTCGAGTCGTCTGGCTCTTTCCAGTAGACTTGAATAAGGATGGACTGGACGAGACCGATGGACACCTTGCCGTCGATGATCGCCCGTCCCGTCAGCTGCTTCGCATGCATCAGCAGGGGGTGGTACAGCTGCGGGCGGATAAACTTGGCCGAGACGGCAAGGATGGTGCTGAAGAGGACCGGCGACGCTTTGCGGACGTAGTCGACCTTGTGAAGGAACGGGTCGAGGAGGATGATGAATGCGTTCATCTTGACGTGGTAGTGGTCGAACAGCTGGTAGGCGTCGAGCTCGGAGAGGACGTGCATGTCGATCGGATCAGGCTCGGGCCGTGGCTCAATCGCAGGCCGCCGCTGCAACGCCGACGAGATCGGACCTGGTGCGCTCAGATCCTGCAGCGCCTTTTCCTTTGCCTGTGCGAGGTCCATCATGGACAGCTTTGGCAGTGTCGATTGCGGGCTCGTCTCGTCGCGCAGCGAGCCAGCGTGATCGTAGGACCGCTGCGCGTCAGAACGCGGACTTGACTCGGAAGGAGAATATCCATGCGGTAGCAGAGACGAGCCGAGCGAGTAGCTCTTTTGCTGTGCCAACGACGAGGACGATGACGACGACGCGTGGGGGCCGCCAGCACCGGCAGAGACAGTAGGCATGGGGGCTGCCGACGCCAGCATGGACAGTCGATCAAGCGGATCCTCTGTCCTCTCACGTCAGTCGCCGGTTCACATGTCCTTCCGAGTCTGTTCGTCTGCTCACCATGCTGAGAAGTGGCTGGAGCCGGATCCTCGGCCGGCTGCGGCTGCGACTGCGACTGCGGCTGCGGGTGTGATTGCGGCTGCGACGGTGGCCTGTAAGCAAAGCACATTGATTTTAGCTACCATGCGATGAGATCGTTGGACGGACGACGATGGCCTCACCTGTTCGACTTGCGTCCGCGCTTTTGGCTCTCCACCCAGACACAGTCAAAGGCCAGGCGAGTGCATCGAGTACACTTGCCATTCGGAGGCTCCTGTGGCTCACACCTCGCCTTGAGGCTTCGGCAGCGCGAGCAGGCGAGTTTGGAGCCCAGCTTCACTCGCTTTGCGCGGTTTCCTCCAATTTCTCCGTCTCTGTCCTCCTCGTCCGGCCCGTTTGTGCGCTGCAACAGCGCGTTTGACGCCGATCCCGGCCGACTGGGGGACGCTTGCACCCCACGTGACGAGGACTGATTCATCAACGAATGATACTGTGACCCAAGTTGCCTGTGCGAGCGGCTGCTGAACGACCTTCCTGTGCGGATGGTACCGAGGGCAGTCGCGCGGGGTTATTTCGGGCGGAGCTTGACGAGCAGGGGAGCGCGCTCAGAGAGAGGTCAGGTGCCCAACGTGGCATTTTACCGGCCAAAAGGCCGCGATTCTGACTATTATCTCGTCTTCAATTCTGTCATTCGAGCACGACGCAAAGATCGGAACAGTGAATGCGACTACTGCAGCTGATGATAGCGCTGAAGTGCTCTATAGATTGCGACACTGGAGGTAGGGGAGCCGAAGGCAAAGGAGGGATCTAGCCTGCTACTCTTGAGCGTGGTGTGCCACCTCGTGGTCTTTTATCAAGAAATCGACGACTAGTCCGTACGCTTCGTCTCGCGCCCTGTTGTGAGGTTCGCTGTCCAGAGGCTTCTTGTCGAATCCATGGCCAAAGTTCCTCATGCGGTGCACAACCACCTCTTTGGCCGGATCGCTCGACTGGATCTTGGCAGCCAACTCCTCTGCTTCTGGGCAGAAGACGTCGTACCCGGCCGTGATGAAGAGTATACGATCAGGGAAGGCTTGCGGGCTGGCGTAGTGAGGCGAAACTCTGGGGTCGGTGTACAGATCTGGATTCTGAACGTATGACTGAATGAAGACGGCGCTCGCCCAGTCGGGTAACAGGAGATCGAGCTTGTCGTCGACCGGCTCTGTATCTGCTGGTCTCTTCTGCAGCTCACTCCCGCCAAGAAGGGTGCCCGGATAGACTGTGACCAAGTTCTTGAATGTGGTCTTCTCGAAAGCCTGGGAAGCCGCTGCCAGGATCAGGGTTCCACCAGCACTGAAGCCGGAGAGAGAGATACGAGACGGGTCGAAAGTCTCTGGCTTGCTCAGTACGTAGCGGATTGTGTCTACAACGTCGTCGTATGCTGCCGGGAAGGGATTCTCGGGCGCCAGGCGGTAACTTGCATCGAGCACCACGACCTTGGCCCTGTCTGCCAGCGTGCGAGCATATTCGTCGTCGACGCCGTGGTAGGGCATCACATAGCCGCTGCCGTGAACATTGATCACTGCAGGTGCAGGACCAGCGTCTGACGCGCGAATCTCCCTCTTTGGATAGTAGACGTGGGTCCGAAGTGTTCGACCGGCATCCCGTGACGGCACCTCCAGCACATCGTCCATGCGCAGGCCCGTGAGATCAACTCGTGTGCTCCCTTGGGACTCGCGCATCATTTTGGCCAGGGAAAAGAGACGGTCGCGGTCGAGCCTTTCCGTCTTTGCGAGTTCTGGAATTGATGGTGAGGAGCTCATCTTTGCGTGTTCTGGTATTGGTGCCGAAGGGCTGTGGTTTGTAGATTCATGGGTGAGGAGCTGTGATTTATGTGTTCTAGAGTATTGGTGAGAAGCTGTGACCTGTCTGTTCCGCGGAGTTGGTGAGAGATTGAGTCACAGCGGCAGCGAGGAAATCGGCGTCGAGAGAGCTAGCCCATTTCATGCGCGTTCCTACTACGACCCAAATTAACGCTACAGCTCTCGAGTCATTTCTACGAGCCTAAACGCTGAAGAGCCTCGGGGCCCCCCGCGCAAAGACGTCGCCTCTAGTCTAGTAGTTGTAGGTGTAGGAAATGGTTGAAGTCTGTCTTGACGTATGCGGAGTAGGGCTCGCCTTCGCGGAAGCCAAACTTCTCGTACAAGGCGCGTGCTGCCTCGAATGAAGGCCCACTTCCCGTCTCGAGCGAGAGACGGCGAATGCCGCGCGCCTTTGCCGCGTCTACTATTGTCGCGAGAATGCGCGCGCCAGCACCGCGCCCGATAAGGTCCGGGTGCGTTCGCATAGACTTGATCTCGCCCGTTCCGTCTGGCAGCATCTTCAGCGCACCAATGCTGGCTATTCTTGGGCCGTCCCATGCGCTCCATACTGTTACGTTCGGCCGTTGCAGCTCGGATAAACCAAGGAAGAGCGCTCCGGGCGGGACGTCTGCAACCATGCCAGCCAGGTGCAGGCTGATCAAGCGCCGCGATTGCGGGTCCGAGAGATCATCCTCGTGGATGTGTAACATGCAGACTGCCGCCGCTTTCCGTGTTAGCGGTCGTTGACGAGCTGGTTGAATTTCGGTCGCGTAGCAGACGGCGGTCGACGCCCGATCGGCCATTTGCCCGAGTTCCGGTCATCGACCCAGAAACCATCGACAACGGTCAGCGGCTTCTTGAGCGGTGCAAACGTTTGCAACTCAACTCACTCCAGAGTGAAGGCTCAGTAGCGGTGCTTGTCCCCCTACCAGAGCACGCTTCATGCTAGAATATCACGTCACGTCGCTATGGCTGCGACATTCACTCGGTCAAATTCATGGCTGGTCTGACAGCCGGCAACGGAATGATTGTTCGTCTGCTTAAAAGGGTCTGGTCTCTACATGCTCGGTCTGGCTGTTCGCAAACGCGGTCAAACACTCAGACATTGTACTCTTCTTGGTCAGGAGAGCCTGCGCCGGGATCGACGGGCTCGCCGCCGGCCTCGCCAAAATAGCACGCATTGTTGTCGGCACAGTAGTATGTCCATCCGACCAGAGAGCCATTGTCGTCCGGATTGGTCACCTTGGAGTAGACGCCCGAGGGGATGCTAGTCGAGGAAGCCGTCTCGCCATCAGCAACAGTGGCCACCTGGAGAATGGCATCGAGCGCTCCGCTCTCGCAGACATTGCCTCCATCGTCGAAGCAGCCGTACTCTTCGCTTAGCGCGGCGCGCTTCCATACGCCCGGCTCGCGCGTGCCAAGGAGGTCACGTCGGCCGCTGCGTGTCACCATCTCAATGGCAGCCTGCCCACCACGGGAAGCCATGGCCTTTGTCAGGACAGCCAGGCAGGAAGGAATAAAGACGCAGACGAGGCCAGCGAGAATCGTGATCGCCCCTGCGACCTCCAGCAGGTTCACGTCGACCGACAGATCACCCTTTTGCACATGGATTCGCCTCTCGAGGTGGGAGAGATCGTGAAAGCCCGTGTGGTCGGTGTAGCCGGAGATGGTGCTGTTGCGAATATGAACGGTGCGGAGCGGCTTGGCGTTGGCGAGTGGGTGCTCCGACGGAATGCCGTGGCGCCAGTTCTTCTGGATTGGTGCATAGGACGTCATCGCTTCAAGCTGATCGAATGACGGTGGAGATGAGCCAGTAGATAAAAGCAACAGTAAGGAGTGCAGAGGCGAGCAGAACTTTTAGCGGCAGGTACTCGTCGAGCTGTCGTACTGCGGGCGGTGGAGAGGAGTTTTCGGGTAGAAGAGGGGCGGTGTTCTTGTTCATGAGGCAGTCTCGTCCGTCCGTCCTGGGAGGATGACGACAGCTTTTGTAGCCTTCGCGAGCGTCGTGCCGATGGCCATGGAATCAATCAGGGCCGAGCTTGCAGAAGCTGCCGAAGAGAGATGTGGCGACCGCGTGCACTGTGAATTTTCTGGTGCGCGTCAGAGCAGTACTACCGCATGTTCCTGGCTAGGAGCCCGAGGCTGCCTACGTTTTGCTCTCCGGGTCCAATGAGATCGTCGTGCACCTTGTGACTGCAGCTTCTCTAGCATCGAGCACGTTCAGGCCTCTGAAGCCGAATGCCATGGATGGAGAAGCTTGTGCCGGTCTGCGCGTGGCCTCGTTCTTGGCGAGACTCGTTCCGGCTTGGGGGTGGTCTGTTTCTCTGCGGAGAGACGCGATGCGATGATGCCGTTGCGTCGCCCGTCGGTGGTCGTGGTAGCCAGGCACGAGCTAGGAGGCTTTGACGGTCAATTTCGTCTCTCCACGACGATCGGAGAGCGACGTGCTGCAGCCGGCTAGGCAGAAGACTACTCTGTGGTTCACAAGACCCCCGAAGCTCTGCATGCAGGCTTGTCCAAAACAGAGTGAGTCTGGTGGTCTCCCGGTTCCGCGTGCAGGACTGTTCTTGAGATCCACCTGGACTGTCTAGCCTGTCAACGTGAGCACACGTTCTCCTTTCTTCAGCGCAACCCACGCCGTTGAACGTTGGGTACTCATGCTACCAGCTTGGTCTCTAAATCATTGCTCAGTATGCGCAGGGAGCAGCCGCACAGGGGACGATGCGAATGTAAGCAGCAGTCGTGAGAGTCATCATTGACAAAAGCGGTATGAGTCGGTATGAAGAGATATGGTACAGTACAGTAGTCGAGCAAGCGTGAATCTAGGGACAGTGCTTAGGCATTTTGAAAGGAGACAGCTTTGAATACTTCAGTACTCGAGGGTAGAGACAGCCTGCCTCTCGACGTCTCGCGCGTTCTTTTCGTCCTTGTCGGAGTGCGTGTCCGCGCTGGCCGAGTCACTGCCAGCGTGGTGGGCCTGAGCCTCGGTCTGAGCCTGGGCCTGGGCCTCGGGGAACCAGCCGTCGTCCTCCCAGCTCTCTGGCTCGTGGAACTCCTTTCTGCTGGCGGTGCGGACGTCGACGCCGCCCTTGACGGGCCAGAGGGTGCAGAGGGCCAGGTAGACGAGGGCGCTCGTGAGGAAGCCAATGGGGTAGGCCAGCGTGTAGATGTGCTCGGCGGCCGTCGAAACATTGGCACCCAGGACACCTGCAAAGCCAGTGACGCTCATGGCGATGCCCGCAATGTAGGCAGCAAAGGCGCGCAGGTTGAAACCGCCCAGATAGCGGTACACCCCTTGGCTGTCCGAGGTGTAGAGCGAGGGCACGTGGAGGAGACCGCGGCGGACGATGTAGTAGTCGCAGAGCATCGTTCCCGAAATGGAGCTGAGGAAGAGCGAGTAGGCCGAGAGGTAGGTGGCAAACGAGTTTGAGCTCTCGAGGAGGTGCCAGGGGCACATGGCAAAGCCCACGGCCGCGGCCACAAACGAGCCACGGCGGATGGAGATGAAGCGGGGCGCCAGGGCAGCGAGGTCGTGGCCGGCAGAGAGCGAGTTGGCGGCGACGTTGACACCGATCTGGCCAATGATAAAAGCGAGGGCGATGAAGAAGACGCCGGCCCGGTTGGCCGAGTTGTAGGGGTCGACCTTGAGCCGCTGTCCGAGCAGCAGCACCGGGTTCCAGATCAGCTCGCCGTAGGTGACGTTGGAGGACGAGGCGATGATGATGCCAAAGAAGGACGTGATGCTGAAGGTGGCGGGGATGGAGATGAACTGCGACCAGGTGACGCTCTTCTTTGACTTGGCCATGCGCGCGACGTCGGGGATGTTGACGATGAGGGTGGCCATGTTGGAGATGCAGCTCATGACCGTCGACACAAACGCCCAGCCATACTTTCCCCCGCTGATGGTCGCCTTTTGGTGCACAATGGGTCCCAGGCCCTTGGCGTCGGCGATGGACCAGGCGAAAAAGGCAATGGCAGCAATGGGAACGACGACGGACTTGACGTGGAAGAAGTAGCGGACCTTTTCGGGCTTGAGGTAGACGATGGGAAGCGAGATGAGCGAGAAGAGGAAAAAGGAGACAAACTCGTACGTCTCGATGCCAGCCGACGCAGGCAGCGTGTTCCTCATGTTGATGTAGCCAGGCGCGAGGCACTGGAGCACGAGGGTGACGCACTGACCGCCGATCCACGACTGGACGCCGTACCAGATGCACGCCATGACGCTGCGGTTGATCGTGGGCCAGATGGCGCCCCAGACGCCAAAGGTGCTGCGGGCGAGAATGGGAAACGAGATGTGGTAGACGGCGGCGATGCGGGCAGTGGTGACAATGAGGAACGAGACGGCAGTGTAGCCAAAGATGATGGCCAGCCACGCGGCCCACCACGAGATGCCGAGCGAGACGGCCGTCGAGGCAATCATAAAGGTGTTGAGGTTGAGGCCGTCGCTGACCCAGAAGGCGACAAAGGACCAGGTGCCCCACGAGCGGCGCTCCGGGTCGACGGGCAGCAGGTCATCGTTGCGGAGAAAGGTGTCGGCGGTGGAGACGCCCTCCTTGGGCTCGCTGCCCTTGATCTGCAGCGCCTTGATGATGCGGGACATTGGTGGTCGTCGAGGTAGCGAGGGGAGGCGGGTGGTCGATGCGGAGAGAGTCAGGAACCTAGGAAGAAGCGGCCCTTTAAGTAGCCCTCGATGTTCCTGAGCGTGAGCTTCGTTTGGTGGGCGGCTGTCAACGTCTTATCTCTTATCTCTCTCCTGTCGTCGAGGCCAAGCATCGCTCGCTCGCTTCGAATCAAATCTGGGAGGGCGAGGCACTAGCCCAGGCCGGGCCAGCATTCTCCGAATGTTTAGGCGGGAAAATCTTTGTGCTTCTAATCTAGGCTACCTTTCTTCTCAAATCTCGTCTACTTTCTTCCACTGGGGTAAATACAACCTTATTGGCCAGCGCTATCTCACCTAAGCCACAGCTCCGCGTCTGGCTTTCAGAAGCCGGCTATTTTCGCCTCGGCCCAGCAAAGTCCGGCCCGTTATCTCTATCGGCTGGGCGCCACGCTACGCTACGCTAAGTTGCAGATGGCCCCAGCCAGGGCTGGATGTCGATGCCTGCGATGATGTTGTCGCCGAAGCCGAGCGCTTCGTGCGAGTCCCAGTCAACAAAGGCAAAGTGGGACAGGTCTGCGTCGCTGAATGACAGGTCGCCCGGCAGGACGGCGCCGTTTTGCATGGGAATCGCTGCTGCTGCTGCAGTAGCGCCATGGCCTGAGAGGTGTCCTTGGCCTGCTGCTGATGACCCACTGAGAGGCATCATCTGCCCTTCCTCGGCTGACTCGACTGAGCCGTGGCCATTGCTCGTCGCGCGTGACTGTCTGCGAGAGTCTCGCTTGTTGCTTGTGAGAGTGGCGTCGCAGACCTGCTCGGCAAACGCCGTCTCTTCTGAGAAAGTGCGGCGGACGAGGGCCGTGACCAGGCGGAGAACTGAGACGGCGTTGAGGTGGACAAGCGACAGGGACCGCAGCGTGGCGACGAGCGAGTGCAGGTCGTTGCGCGCCTCGCGGCGCACCGTGCCCGTGCTCGACTTTGCATTGAGCAGGCTGACGGTGATGGCCGTGTGGACGACAAAGACGACGTAGTTGTGCGCCAGCCTGGGCCCGTGGCGAGCGTCGAGCTCGGCTGCCAGCACGGCAATGGCGCGCGAGGCAACGTGGCAGGCCTTGGCAGAGAAGGCGGCCTCGAGCATGTTGGCGCCCAGAGCCAGAAAGGGGCGGTTGAGAAGGATCACCAGCGCGTGGTAGACGAGCTGCAAGAACATGGCCCGCGGCGCGGGGATCTGGCCGCGTGTGAGGGAGCACTTGAGCGCCCGAGGCAGGTCTGCGTTCCACTGGGCCAGCCGCAGATTCAGGTCGCTGGCCCAGCCGGTCCATCGCGCGCTGGCGTCGCCGCCCTTGAGAATCGGGTTCACATAGAGGCGGTCAAAGATCTCGACCGAGTAGTTTGTCAGCTCAAACATGCTGGCGTAGCAGCCGTCGGCATCAAAGCCGCGGCAGCTGTGGCATGCTGCGCCTCTGTTGCGCGCCACGGGGCAGGGAGTCGACAGCGCTTTGGGTGGCAGGTTGCGAAACGAGGGCGCCGTGGCAGAGATGACGGAGGCGTCGAGGCACGGCGGGCGGCCATGGAAGAGCGACAGGAGATTCTCGAGCGTGTAGAGGGCAAAGAGGGTCCGGTGGCGTGCGACGAGGTCCTCGGTGGTCATCCAGCCGGCCTCGACGTACTCGTGCGAGTCGCGCGGGATGCCCAGCTCGAGGGCGATGCGAGCCGCCATGCCCGTGTAGAGCCAGCCACGCGACTCGCGACCTCGAGCTGCCTCGCAGTAGCCCAGCAGGACGAGCCCCTGGATCGTCGTCAGCTGCGGAAACTCGTCCTCGACGTCGATGAGTGCGCGAGCCCGCTCGAGATGTGTCTCGCACAGCTGAGTCCTCTGTGTCTCGGCAATCGTCTCGTCCTGCTGCTCGGCTCTACGCGGCCCAACAAAGGCGCCGACAGCGCAGACAGCATTGAGAAGAAAGCAAGAGGCGTGTGTGGCCTGGTCGGTGTCGAGCGCCAAGTGCCGCCGGAAGATGGCCTCGTCGAGGAGCATGAGGATCGAATTGGCGCGCTCAAAGTAGTCTGAATAGAGCTCCTGTGCCGGCTCTGCGGTCTCGACATCGAGGGGAAGCCCCAGGGCCGAGAGGCGTCTTCGAGAGGCGCGGGCGATGCGGGAGAAGCTAAAGGGCTTAGAGCAGTGCGCCAGCTGGAAGTTGCGGCCCGATGAGGCGCCATAGAAGCGAAAGGTGCCTTCGGCTACTGCACCGGCATCCCGGTGGCGAAGAAGGTTGCCACCCCGCCTGGCCAGCTGGCCGACCAGCTCCGTGTCGTGGAGCGCGCTGGTGGAAGCGGGGGCTGGAGAAGAGGAGGAGGAAGAAGAAGAAGAGAAGAGGGGCGCCACCGCCGCTGTGGCCGAAAGAGCGCTGTCAGCGGCGCGCAGAAGGCCTCTGTTGGATCCCGAGGCAGGAACTTCGCCGTCTTCGGCATGCCCCGCTGCTGCCTCTTCGGGGTTTGCAGTCGACCGCAACGACTTGGACGCGCGGCTCTGGGGCGGCCGGCGTTGCTCCCGCGCGTTTCTCTCCAGCTCCTTTTCCAGCGAGTTGATGCGTGCCTGGAGTGTGCTGACAAAGGCCTTGGAGTAAGGCTTGCGCTGGTCAGTCCGCGGATCATAGGAGCACTCCAGGCTGGCCCGGGCGCAGTTGTCACAGACAGGCTTCTGGCCTCCGCATCTCGTCTTCTTCGACCGGCAGGCCAGGCAGGCCAAGCTGACGCGGGAGATGGGGGCCTTGTCACGCATAGCCGAGGGACCCAGCGGTGCGGGCAAGGCGTGCCAGAGGCTTCGGCATCCTTGGCCGGCACGGGCCGCGGACGAGTGAGGCGGAGTGATGGACTGATTGCAAGGTGCTTGCTTATCATCATCGGAGCTCGCCGCGGGGGAGTGAGGTTCGCTTCGGCCGAAACAGAATTTAGGGCGTCTCCGAATTCCCACTGTGTTTCGAAACTAGGCTGTCCTTCGGCGGCCATTGTTGTCGTCAGCAATGTCCACAATCCCAGAGCGAGAGAGGCTCTATCTAGCACCGCCGCAGAAGCATTATCTAGCACCGCCGCAGACTGCTGTTTCTCAAGGCGAATAAATCACGAGCATTGCACATTCTACATCTCAGCCGAGAGTCCTAGAAATCTAGATGGGGAGAGATGCAGATAGTGACGCTTAGGGGAGAGGAAAATCAAAGCCTAGAGGGAAAGGCCAGCTGACTGTCAAAGGACGCGAGCTTGGCGCCGTCCATCAGGGCGTCGAGCTCAGAAAGGGTCCTGTCGAGACCACCGTCGGTGCCGCAGATCCACCGCACAGCTGTCTCGAGCTCGAGCCCGGCATCGCCCCTTTCAACAGCAACAGTCGAGGGTGAGGCTGACCAGGCGGCCTGCTCGACCAGGCCCACGCCGCTCGTGACAATGGCAATGAGCTCTAGCAGGCTTCGTGCATACCGACCGTCGCCCGTCGCCAGGGCTGCCCCGTCGATGTACGCCCTCTTGATGGCCGCGTACACCTTGTCCAGCTGCCGGCCGATCTTCTCCACCTTGCCTCGGTCGACGGCCACGAGTGCCCCCGTCGAGGCATCGACGACGGCCGCACAGTCCTGCAGCCACTCGTTCAGTGCGAGCCCTTTGGTCTGCACCATGATACGCGCGACATCAAGACTGAGGATGCTTGGGGTGCCCTCCCATATGCGCTCCACGAGCGTGTCCCGCAGCGCTTCGGGCAGCGGATTCTCGGCCATGTATCCCTGCCCGCCCATGGCCTCGATGCACTGCGCAATGCACTCGGTGGTTCTGAACGCGACAAATGCCTTGCACACGGGCGTCAGCATGCGCAACCGTCTGAGATCGCGAGGCGTGGCCGTGCCCGTCTCTGCCTTGCCCAGCAGCAGCGTCGTGGGAAAGTAGAGCTGCAGGAGCGCGCGGTAGCACACGCCGACGCGCGCGAGGCGGTCAGCGTGCATGGGAATGTCCTTGAGCAGAGTCGGTCGCCCCTGCACGCCCACAGCACGGACTTGGGCGTACGACGAGGCCACCTCGAGGCTGCGTGCGATGGCCGCGACGCAGCCCGTGGCGCTGTAGATGCGTGTGATGTTGAGCACCGAGGCAATCTGGGCCACCCCCCGTCCCTCTTGGCCAATCAGCTCGCCAATGGCCCCGCACAGCTCCAGCTCGGCCGTGGGAACATGGCGCGTGCCCAGCTTGTTCTTGAGCCGGTGCACCTTGATGCCGTTGAACGGGCTCGTGGCGGCTGTCTCGTCGGTGTACGATGCGGTGGCGGGGATCGGGGGCCGGTCTTGTTTGCGCACGGGAATGAGAAACAGAGACAAGCCCTTCGAGCCCAGCGATGTGTCGGAGCTGGTGCGGGCGAGCGCCAGGGAAGCGTGGCCATCGATGGCCGAAGAGAACCACTTGAACCCGTGGATGGTGTACTGGAGGCAGCGAGTGAGTCAGTCAGTGCCTGTGTTAAGGCGAATGGACTATCCCATCACACCACCCACCAGGTCGCCCGCCTTTGCTTGCCGACCTGTCTCAACCAGCGGCGTGGCCCGTGTCTCGGTCATGCCCACATCGGATCCCCCAATGACCTCTGTCATCCACTGGCCCGACTGCCACGAGGTGGTTGGATCCCGCGACAAGAGCTTGGGCAGGTACTTGCCCTTTTGCTCGGCAGTCCCGTAGAGCTCCAAAGCTGGGCAAGCACTCACAAAGTCAGTCGCCTGGTGCAAAGGCAGCGAAAGAGGAAAAAGGCACTCACTTCTGACCGCGCCATCCGTCATGGAGAAGGGGCAAGGCGTCACCTTGGAGTCCGGTGCAAAGAGAAAGTTTCGTGCGAAAGAAAAGAGACGGGCGCTGGCGGCGGTTCCTCTTTAGCAAACCGACATACAAGACTGGCATCGCACTCACACTGCTCCCAGTTGTTCGCGACCCCCCAGGCTGTCCGGCTTGCCCAGCCAGGCCTCCTGCCCCTCGGCTCCGTAGCCTTCCCCGACGAGGCCGTGCACGGTCATGAAGTCCTTGAGGCCCCTCCATCCCTCACTCGTCTCCACTCGGTCCACTCGCTGGCCCCATTCGTTGTACTGGACCAGCCTCGGCTCGGCGCCGGGGCGGTCGCAGAGCGCGGCCAGTGGGCGCGACGTCTGTGCGCACGTCTTTGCAAACGCAGCGAGCGAGTCGAGAATCTGGTGGACACGGGCTGGTGTGTTCAGGAGCACGAGTCGGCCGACGACGTGCCGGAGTGACGGGTCGCTCGACCAGCCATCGCTCAGCTCAAACGGCGTATGGGTGTGCACCTCGTCGATGCGCATCGCTGTGGTTGTTGTGGCCGAAGAGGGTGCTGTCCTCTCATGTCGGTCAATTGTAAGCCGGCGAGGCCGGTGGATTTTGTGGAGCAATCTGCAAGATAGCTCGCTTCATTTGCCCCTGGAGTGAAAGCACGAAATTTAGACTCAAGGCTCGAGTCGTTTATATTACATGGAGAAAGCAATAATCTGATAGCTCGGCCAGAGCCTTGTGGTACTGTACAAAACCAGCCACTCAAAGCTTTGCGCTCTTGTCCCTCTGGATAAACGCTTCCAGTGCGGGGCCGAGGTGCTGCAGGCTGCGAGTCCCATGTTCAAATTCGAGCTGCATTGCCTCCCTCTCTGCGCCCGAGACATTGGCATGCCCTTCGCTCGCTGCAGCCTGCGAGAGCACACTCAATCGATCGCCTCGCATGCACTCCTGCGGGTGCGAACAGAGGAGTCGGGCCAGCTCAAGCGAGGCGGCGAGCACCTCGGCTGGGTCCGACGAGGGCACAAGCGTATTGACAAGGCCGAAGCGTTCAGCTTCCTCTGCTGAGATGACCCGGCTGAAGAAGAGACGGAGATGAGCTACTGCCATGACACCACCACAAAGCTGACGAGCTCACCCCGTCAAAATAAGATCCTGGGCCCTGGAAAGGCCGATGAGCTTGGGTAGTCTGCGCAGGAGAGAGAGGGATTCAGGGCTTCTGACAAGCTCGTTTCGCAAATGACGTTCCTCACCGCACGGTGCCCCCGTCGATCAGAGGGACACCCCTGAGGCGACAAAGCACACCCAGCTTTGCGCTCCGACTGGCCACGCGAAGGTCGCACCAGCACGCCAGCTCCAAGCCCCCGGCTACTGCATACCCGTCGATGCATGCAATGACCGGCTTGTTTAAGACTAGTCGTGTGGGGCTGCGTATGCCTCTGCTTCAGCTGGTTTCTAAGCGGGCCTCTCCCAAAGACTTGACCTACCCCATGGGCCCCGGAGCATCCATATCGGGGTTCAGATTGTTTGATCGACCAGATGACTGAGCCCCGGTTTTGTCCGCAAAGACGGCCTGCAGGTCGGCTCCAGCACAGAAGTGGCCACCATCTCCCCTGAGGATGGCCACTTTGAACTGGCAGATGGGCAAGAAGCTTTAGACGTGCGGGGCAGACTGGGCGATACTCGGACAACAAACCTGCTCATCTCTGGCAAATGCGACGAAGGCGCTGTGTAGCAGGCCAGCTGTTGGACCGTCCACTGCGTTTCGTACTTGTGGCCGAGATAGGCTGATGACAAGCACAGGTTTGTGGCTGTAGTCAACCGTGACAGACGGCATCTTCTGGATATGGTCTCAAGAGTCTGCGCATCAGCCCACCAATTGCCCCAGAAAGCTTAGTCACGTGACGAGCGGGTGAGACGTCTGCTAGGACCCAATGAGCCTCATGCCAACGTACAGGCTAGCTAGTGCTTAAGCATTTCTGCTGCGCATTCACGAGACCTTCGGACGTTGCCCCAGAGCGAGGCAGCTCAGCGGGCTTCCGTAGAGCCAGGACTCGTGTCGTCATCAGTATGAACATACTCTCACTTCTTCTACTGTATAAAGCTATCGTGAATGTACGCTAGGAGGCACAGGCACTGCGCTTCTGAATATCTTCCAGATTATCATCGCTCAGGCTTGCTTCTACGTGAACGAGTGTAGAAGCCTACTGGTGAGTGTAGGGCTGGCCCTGGAGCATGGCCACGGCAAAGTTGGCGCCCTCGGTCTGGACACCGGAGTTGGATCCATAGGTGAGGTGAGGAGGAGTGATACCTCCGCCACCGTCGCAGACACCATCGCCCGAGATGCAGATGTCGAGAACCTTGCTGACCCAGTTCTGAGGGATGCCGCTCGAGCCGAACCCGCCCTCGATGCCGTTGGTGTTGCGTGTCGATGCGCCGCCGTTGGGGTCGACGTTGCAGGCCAGGCCCGCCTTCTTCAGCGGGTCGCCCACAAGCACGACACCCTTGACAGCGTCAAAGGATGCGCCCGTGAGCTTGGACATGGCATTGACGGTCGCAGCGGCGCCCTGGCTGTAGCCTTGGAGAATGTAGCAGGAGCCCGTGTTTGCGTTGACGTGGTTCACAATCTGTCGCGCTCGTCAGCCTCTCCTCTCACGGCAACGGCAAGGCTAGACACTCACATCCGTCGTGCCCTGGCTCGACTGCTGGTCGATGCCAGCAGGGTAGACGACGTCGTACTCCTTGCCGCCAGAAACCCTGCTGAGAATCTGCTGGTTCATGGTTCGGAAGCCCATCGACGGACCCTGTGGCTCGCCAGTTCCCCGTGCTTCGATGATGGTGTACGACGAGCACGCGGCGCCTGAGCCGGACCCGCCAGTGGGAGCAGGGGCGGCGCTGCTGGTTGACGTGGGCAGGCCCGGGAAACCACCGAAGCCACCTCCGCCCGTGGGGAAGCCGCCGAAGCCGCCTCCGCTGCGCGTAGGGAAGCCACCGAATCCACCTCCGAGCGGGCTTGCCTGGGCGGGGCTGATGGCGAGCAAGGCGAGAGCGCCAAAGAGCATCTTTTCAGAGATCGAGCGCATGTTTTCTGCTTTGTCGTTCGAATGGGTAAGAAAATGGCGGTGGCGGCAAGAGGTGCGGGTGCAGGACAAGGAGAGCTTATGTACTTTTTTCCAGAAGTACTCGGCTCTCACGATGAAGTTAGGCGAGGACACCGCAAAGGTAGGACTCAGACAGAGATCATGGCTTGCTCATTAAGTCTGACCACCGTGGTCTGATTTGGCGTCTTTCCGTTCATGAAAATTTCCATGTCGCTGTGCTCAATCTTTGATGATTTGCCAGAAAGCCAGAAGCCCGTGGGGTCCACATCTGTGTTCTTTTATCCCGTCGCCGTTGGTGTGGGAATCGAAGCGTCCATGTCGACAGAAATCCACTGTCTGTGCCACAATCAAGGCAATCAATCAATGTTTACCGGATATTTGTTAGCCCATTTGTTCTGCGACTGATTAATTTACGACACAAACTGAAAAAAAAAATCCCCACCACACGTGGCGTGTTCCATCGCACCCGCACGCGAAAGTAGGTCTGCTAGAAGACAGCGCAGGCGGGGAGGGCCAGATCAGACAAGGGCAGTCGAGCCAGGATAACACTGACAGGGCACGAGTCAATCAAAAAGCACAACCACGACCTAGGTCCAATTACATGCACGTGAAAGGCTACATGCTTCGCTGGCCATAGCAGCGACCGGCGCGTCGTCAGACGCCCTTGTCACGAACGCCGCTTTCAGTACCTTTCGCGAAGCTAGTCATTCCCGAGGCCTTTGACGTTAGTCTTCGTATGGCAGACTGAGGCAACTAGAGCATCTCGACGGCCCTACTGGCCTGTTGCTTTGTCCTCGCACTAGCACACACCAGAAAATTGCAATGTTGCACAAGGAGTATTTGACGGTGGGGCAGCCAACGCCCCGATTGGCGCCGGTCACGAAAACGCAGAACCGTCGAACACTAGACTGCGGAGCTATTGATAAGAGTGATGATCGTCAGAGATCCAGAGAAGCCCCCACTGGCCCTGATATGCTCCACTGAGCAGTCGGTGTGGACTTGTTCGTGGCTGCGCTAGGCATCTTAGACGCATTCCCGTCGGCTGCATCTGCCCGCCAGCATACCACTTTGCTGCTGTCAACAACAAGAAGCAACCGCCATTCCCCTCGTCTGTCTGCCTATGGTGAGCTGCTGTGCTACCACCTTTTACTGGTGTTATGGGGGGGCAGGAGAAGACAAGAGGGATCTGAGCTTCCAGAAAGGCAGCGCGACACGTGGCGTCCATCCATTGGCCACTAGCCACAGTGCCGACGGCATGCACTAACGTCAAAAGAGCCCGCAAAAAAGCTTAAACCCCACACTGCTACCATCAGAAGAAGCGTATGACAAATAAAAACAGCTGGGCCTGTGCCCTGATTACCTACTCATGCTTCCTGCGGAGCCGAGTGGGGTTCCTTTGACGGTGCCTTGTTGGACACCATCCGCTAGGGTCCCCCGCGCCGATGCTTCGCCACGGCAAAAGGAGACATGCTTCTCATAAATATGGTCCAAGATCGCCCTAAAGTGGTGGCGACCGCTCGTCGCCAATATGAAGTCCTCATCTTTCCTAGCAGTCCTGGGTCTCTGCGTTGGCGCCGCGGTAGCGCGACCAGCGACGGATCTTCTCTTTCAGAACAACCTCAACTACACCGACGATGCAAATCACAACTCCTTTTTACTCCTAGACCAGCGCTCGACCCAAGCCCTGGCAGCGCAGGCATGCCGTGATGGATTCAGCGAGACACTCGTTTCCACGCCACAGGCCAAGAGCAGCATGTCCGACCTTGTTTCGCTACTGACCTACTACGGCACCCCGTCAGTCTGGCTTGCCGACGGCATCCTCGAGGTCAGAGACGGCAAGCTCAAATTCGGTCCCGCAAAGAAGGGCTCCAGCCTCCCCGCGCTCTGCACGCAGTCGACCAAGGCCTCGCTCTCGTTCCAGCCCGTCAACCAGTCTGCTACGACGACGGTCCGCAACAGCGCGACAAAGAACACATTCACCGGCTATCGCAATCTCAAGTCATTTCGTTTCCTTGGCATCCCATACTCGAACTCCCCTGGACGGTGGGAGTACTCTTCGCTCAACCCAAGCCGGAACCAAGCCTACAACGCCACAGCATTCGGCCCCTCGTGCTTCCAGACGGGCTCTTCCAAGTACTCGGAGGACTGCCTCTTTCTCAATGTCTTTACCTCGCATTTGCCCGCCGATGGAGCCCGAACCACCCGCCAGCTCAAGCCAACGCTCGTGTGGATCCACGGTGGTGCATTCACGGGTGGCTCAGGGGCCGACAACACCTTTGACGGCGCCAACATGGTCAGTCGCGGCGACGTCGTCCAGGTCACGATCAACTATCGCCTCTCGACGCTTGGCTTCCTCGCCCTGCCCGGAACCAACATCACGGGCAACTACGGCCTCGCGGACCAGATCACTGCGCTTGAATGGGTCAAGCACAACATTGAGTGTAAGTGTGAATCTAGCATATGAACGGGTCTCTGTACAAGGGCTCACGACCCCTGTTGCAGACTTTGGCGGCGACCCCAGCCGTGTCACCATCTACGGCCAAAGCGCCGGCGCCGGGAGCGTGCGCGCTCTGCTGGCCAGCCCACCAGCCCGTTCCCTCTTTTCTGCCGCCATTGCCGGCTCGAATCTGGGCGGGTACGACTACGGGACCACATACTCCAAGTACTACACGATCGAGCAGGAGTACCAGGCGGCAGGAATGGCCGTCGTCAATGCTTCGGGATGCGATGGGCAGGCAGATGTTGTGGCCTGCCTCAGAGCCGTGCCGCCGAGCACGCTGGTCAACCAGAGCACCGTCGCTCGCTTCGTCGTCGTCGATGGCAAATACATTGTGGCCGATCAGCTCGACGTGAGGGACCGTTCCAAGACGGCCAATGTGCCCACGCTCTGGGGCGTCATGGCCGAGGACGGCGCTCCCTTCCTCCCATATGTCACGGCAGGCGAGACACGTCCCCAAGCGCTCCAATCCGTCCTTCCCTCGCCCTACCAGCAGGCTGCCACGGCCAACACGTCGCTGTTTCCCATCCCATCGTCGACGACAAACTCGTCACTGAATCTCTTCAACCTCACCGCCCAGGTGGGCACCGACGTCATCTTCCGCTGCGTGGACCAGGCCACCGTGTACTCTGCTCTGAACCACGGTGTCTTTCCCAACGCCTGGTTCTACCAATTTGAGCGGTCCTACCAGACGCCCGGCTTCGATGTCAATGCGCCGACATGCGATGCGCCCAAGACGAAAGAGCGACCCAATGGCGACACCCGACTCCCCTACCTGCGCTGCCACTCGGGTGACCTGTACTACGAGTTTGGCACCTTGGGCGAGTCCCGTCTGCCGTATCGCGACGCGCTCGACCTCGACTTCACCCGGCTCATCATGGACTACTGGTCCTCGTTTGTGCGCTCGCATGACCCCAACCCGTCGGCCGACTATCTGGAGAAGCGCGGCTACGTCCAGACGATCGATCTGATCCGCAAGAGCGGCCAATGGCGCCCCGTCGGCAAGAGCAAGCAGGGCTCTGTTCGCCTTCTCGATGTGCCCCCACGCCAGTCGACCTACCAGCGGCAGCAGCAGTGCGAGGTCGAGGGCTTGCCCGGTGAGAACTGCCATTCGTATGGGTACCAGAACGGTGTGAACTCACCATTCCTTTTCTTCTACAGTGGACCTGTACGAGGCAGGAAAGTAAATTGTCCTAACGCTGAACGACCAAAATAGGCGCCCTCCTGCACCCTCCTTCCTCCTGTACAGTGTAAGGCTAAATGTCTTGTCATGTTTCTTTGCCATTATTTCAATTGCAATCGGAAGTCAAGCTGTAGTCGGAGGTTTGGATGGCACTGTACAGTACATCATCTGTCTGCATTACGAGACTTCCGGGGCAGCTTGAGAGTTCGGAAGAGTGCTGCTGCCTTCATCTACCGCCATTCTCCACAGATTTCATCCATGCGAGCGTGGGAATGGTCCAGTCGTCGAGCGGGGAGCCAAGGTTGAGGGCCTGTAGTAAGACTCCGAGTCAGCAGGCCAATCACACAAGTCGAGGGGAAAAGATCGCACCTTGGCCGGGCTGAAGTGGTTATGTCCGGCCATGATGACACGCTCCGGCTTGGGCTCGGTGGGCCACACCTCGGCGAGCTCCTCCATCGGCTTGGTCACTTCTGCCTCGAGGTCGTGGTCGCTGACGAGGAGCAAGCAGGGCGTCGTGTCCCGCGAGGCCTTTCTCATTGTGATGGCATCGACGAGGGACGGATCGCTGCCCAGGTAGGCGATGAGCGTCTGCGATCTGCCTGGGTCCGAGTTGCGAAAGTGCGCGGGAAGATTGGCGCAGAGAAAGCCGGCCACGCGCGCGTGCTCCGACGAGAGCTTCCAGAGGTACGTCGAGGCATGAAAGGCGCCGGCAGACGTGCCAAACAGGAATATCTTGGACGCATCAACGGACTCGTGCGACGAGAGCCACTGCAGCGCCAGACCTATGTCCTCGCCTCCCGAGGGATACTTTGCGCCGTGCTCGCCGACGAGACGGTAGTTGATGTTGGCCGCCGTGTAGCCCCTGTCCACGAAAAAGGTGCCGACGTTGGCATACATGCTCTTGTCGCCCCGATCGAAGCCTCCGCCATGGATAAAGACAACCAGGGGTCGGCCGGCGCCAGCACCGGAGAACAGATCGAGCTTCTGGCGCGGGTGAGGGCCGTACTGGTGCTCCGAGTGCTGTGCCTTTGGGCGCTGGGCATGGACCGCCGCACACGCCGCAAAGGTCTCATGGACCGCCTCCAGGAAGGGCTGGTCCGGGTCCAGAGGGATCTTTACCACGGGGCTCGACCCAGCCATGATGGTTGCAATGTCCTACCCCACAAAAGCGAGGCTGAGCCACCTTTTTTTTAAAAAGATTCCCCACACAGCCGAGCCCGATGCGCCACACCCGGCCGACAAACCAGCATAAAAGCCCGTCATCTCGGACATTGAGCCATTCTTCCCACTTTCTTATCTCTCTATTTCCCCTGCAGCGTGAAGCAGCAACAGATGAACGGCGTCACGGAGCAAACAAACGGCCAGGCCAAGGCCACCAATGGAGACGGCGCCCACGGCAAGCTCCGTCTCACGCCTGCCTCGCAGACGCATCGCGGCAGGAACCCCGCGGGGCAGAGCTATGTGCTGTCGCAGTGCTCTGGCGAGAGCCTCTACATTCCCTCGTCGAACTCGATCATGCGCCTAGCCGCGGGCAAGGAGCAGACGGCCGGCTCGTTTGCGATTGCCACGTCGCAGGGCGCTGCCTCCGAGGCCATTGTGCCACACATGCACAAGGACGCCCACGACACGTTTCTCTGCCTGCGCGGAAGCCTGCAGGTGTGGTGCAACAACGAGAGCCGGGTCCTCTATCCCGGCGACTTTGCCTCTGTGCCGCCCATGGCGATCCACAGCTATGCGCAGCGCTCGGCAGCCCACAACGACTTTTGCGGCGTGATTTCGCCCGGTGGGTGGGAAGAGTTCTTTCGCGTCCTGGGCGACGCCAAGGAGGACGACGTGCTGTTCCCCACGGGCGACAAGGCGCCCTTTCCCGTCCAGCGCTTTGTGCAGGCGCTCCAGGAGGGCCACGATGTGATTCCGCAGCCTCAGCACGCCCTCGTCGATGCAACCCCCTTTTCCGACAAGGACGAGACGCTGCCCCAGGACGCCAGCCCCTACTTTCTCAAGGCTGACACCGGTCCGCGCTACCTCCTGGCTGGGCAGCAGCTCGAGTTGCTGTGTGGCAAGGCAAACAGTGCCGGGCGCTTCTCGATGGCCTGGCTCGAGGGCTCGTCGCAGCAGCCGACCTCGTTCCTGGGACCAGACGCTCGTGTCGCGTTTAACAGCACGTCCACCTACCTCCGAATCATCGACGGCGGCATCTCCCTCACGGTCAATGGTCAGCGGGAAACGCTCAACCAGGGCGAGGCAGCCGTCGTCGCCGCAGGAGACGCCTTCCGCATCGACTTTTCCACGCCCTACGGCCGCGTCCTGCTGGCCTCGGGAACTGACCGGGACTTCCAGGGCGGCCTCGAGGAGCTCTTCATCGCACACGGCCAGCGAGTCGACAAGAACGTGGTCCTGGGCCAGGAACTTGCTGCACCTGACCAGGACACGTTGCAGCGGTGGGCTTCCACTGTAGGCGCCAGACTCGTGTAATATCAAGCTAGCTAGTTAGCGCTTGTAAATAGTTTCTACTCCGGGATGGGCAACTGAGTCGGATTGTGTGGGCTTTGCATGCAGTTGTTTTTTAGCTTGGATCACGCTGCCGGACCCCACAGCAGCGATCGGAGTAGTTTTAGGGTCATGTACAGTACCGTACTTATATGTACTGTCCTGCACACTTCTTTTCTACCCACCACCCACCACCACCCGCCCGAAGAAAAAGGCTTGGCCCAGGATGAGATCCGACGGTGCTCCATTTCGCTGCCAAGCTTGCTCCAAGACGTTTGCTCGGCGCGAGCACTTGAGAAGGTGCGTGATGCAGTGTGGCAGCCGCCATGACCGACGACTGCTCACCCAGCCCCCCGCGCACCGACAGGCATGAGCAGGCCCACGCTGGCTCGCCGTCGCCGTCGAACCAGTGCACGACGTGCGGCAAGTACTTTTCCCGGCGCGATGCGCTGCTCCGCCACCGCTCCCTCCATGTCGCGTCGCCCAGCTTCGGTGGCCCACGCAGCCGTGCGGCCACGAACCGCATCAAGCGGGCCTGTGCGCGCTGCTCGAGACAGAAGCTCAAGTGCGATGGCCAGGTGCCGTGCGGACGGTGCGGCGCAAAGGGCCATCCCTGCTCCTACCCCGACTCACCCGCCGCCCAGTCTGCCACGTCGTCGTCGCATCCCATGGAACCGCAGCGGTCCTCGAGTGACATGTATGCGTCCCCACAGGGATCCATCACCACACCGAGAGACGAGTACGGGGTGATGCGCGATGTGGGGCGCGGCCGAGACCACGCTGCACAGACGCACCAGCACCAGCACCAGCACCAGCAGCAGGCGCCGAGTCGAGACCAGGTGGCGACGACGACGAGGGCGGGCTGGGACCGTCGAAGTGCGATGGAGGACGACGGCGCCGTCCGCGAGCAGCAGGGGCAGGAGCAGGGGCAGGGGCAGGGGCAGGGGCAGCCGCCGCCACCGCCGCCGCCGCCACTGCCTCCGCTGACGCCAGTAGCAGTAACAAGGCCAAGAGAGGAACAGCCGCAGATGGATGCTGCCGCCGACGACGGCACTTTTGACTGGCTCTTTTCTTCGTCGCTGTTCCCATCCGCTTGGCCGCTGGAGGAAGAAGCCGTCGTCGAGAAGCAGCTGCCGATCGCATACGAGCGCACGACACCCACCGAGCTGCCCAACACGAGCGTCGTGGGCCCCGACGAGGGCCGTGTGCGCTTCCACATGCTGGGCAGCCCCCACCCGGCGACGCTGCTGGCCGAAAACACCTGCCAGGTGGCGCCGCTCCTCCAGGTTGCAAAGGACCGTCTGCTGTTGCTTCCCACGCTCGCGCAGGTGAGTTGTTGTTGCTGCGTTCGCTCAGTCTTACACCCGGCCTGACACCTTACTCGCCTCGCTGCAGCAAATCCCAGACGAGGAGAAGCAGGGCACGCAAAAGATGCTGGCCGCCGTGTCGCCCGAGACACTCAACGTCTTTGTCCAGCTCTTCTTCCAGCACTTTGACCGCCTCTGCTCCGTCGTGCACCGGCCCACGTTTGACCCCAACTACTGCGAGGTGTTTCTGCTGGGCGCCATCTGTGCCCTGGGGTCCATGTACTCGGCCATTGAAAACGCATCCCGGTTCGGCCACTCGCTCATGAGCCTCGTCAACCGTGCCATTTTTGGCGTCTGGCCCCGCACGCGCGAGTACGGCCGATCGCTGCCGTTCATCCAGGCGCTCCTGTTGAATTTCAACTTCTTTCGCAGCTCGGGCACCCGCGAGATGCTCGAGCTTGCCGAGTCGCTGCGCTCGCCGCTGACGACAATGATTCGCAAGTGCAGGCTCCTCGAACCCGGCGAGGGCAGGCATCCAGAAGACTGGAAGGCCTGGGTCGACTGCGAGACAAAGAAGCGCACCGCATGGGCCTACTTTACCGCCGACATGGAGCTGAGCATGGTGTGGAGCCTGGCCCCGAGCTTTGCCTTTGACGAGCTCAATGCCGAGCTGCCGGGCGACGAGGCGCGCTGGCGGGCAGCCTCGGCGGCGACGTGGCGCAGCATCGGCGACAACTCGCCCCGCATCCTGCTCAACCAGCTGCACACGGACCCACACGCCCTCTACCTCTGCGGCTCGGGCGCGCAAAAGGTCGTCTTTTCCTCGTCGCTCTGCTCGCTGGGCACGTCGCTGCACTCGATGCGCAGCAGCTGCCTGGACGCCGTCATTGACATGGCGACGAGCCAGCTCGTGCAGGCGTGCCAGGCGCTGCGCTTCTCGGGCACGAGCACCGCCCTTCCCGAGCTCCTGCTCCGCTTCATGATGCTCATCAGCACCATCGACACCTACGACCTCCAGGCCCTCGTCCGGGCGACCGACACCGACGCAGCATTTGAACGTGTTGAGCGTCGGCTGGCGCGCGCCAATGCCCTCGAGCACGTCCTCGTGCAGGCCGGCCGCATCGTCGGCCTCTGCCGGACCCAGGCCAGCGAGTCGCTGTACGAGGGCTGCTTCTTCTTCTATGCAGCCTCGGCTCTGTACGGCTGCTCTCGCATCCTCCTGGGCCGCGCCCTGCCCGTCGACTGCACCTCGCAGCGCATCGACGGACTCGCGGCCCTGTCGCCCGCCACGGGCGAGCCGTTCCGCCCGCTGCTCGAGGGCATCGGCGACATCACCGCACTCGATGCCCCCTGGCGGATCCTCAACCACTACTCGAGCTATCTCCTCAACAGGCCCCTGCGCACATCGTGGCCCATCACCGGCCTGCTGGGCAGGTTCCTGGCAGACATGGCCTCGGCCGTCGTTGCCTCTTCTGGCCAGCCCGCTTCCACGCCTGGCAGGATTGTATCGCGCGTCTGAATCATATCGTGTATCGCATGACCATTGTACCCATAGCAAAAGAGAAAGAGAGACAGAGAGACAGAGAGAGAGACAGAAAGATGCTCGAAATGATAAAGGATGAGAAAAGCAGAATGGATCACGCCTTGACATCTGTCAGAGAGTTACTGTCTGAGCCGCGGTAGGAGAGCTCCGGCAGATCGGGGGAGTTGGCGCCGTCAAAGAGGACCTGGATCTCCTCGACGGTCTTGCCCTTTGTCTCGGGGAAGAGGAACAAGACGTTGATGAGGAAAAAGAGAAGCACGGCCACGTAGACGAGGTAGAACTTCCATGCGATGGCGGCCAGGGCAATCGGGTTGACAAAGATGTTGAAGACGAGCGCAACGGCGACCGTCGAGATGGAGACGGCCATGCCCTTGGACCTGATCCGGTACGTGAGAATCTCGGCGGGGTACGACACGGCGAGCGGGGTGAGGGCAATGTCGTAAAAGAAGAAGAAGACAAAGAGGAATGCAATGACGCCGCGTCCCGATCCGGGCTCGCCCGTCTTGGCAAATGTGGCCGAGAGGGCGGTGATGACGATGAAGGAACAGAACATGCCCACGGCAGAGGTGATGAACAGCGGGCGCCGGCCTAGCTTCTCTGACATCAGGGCCGCGCTCGTCGACACGATGAGGTTGAAGACGGCCAGGCCTCCGTTGAAGGCAGCCTGGGTCCGTGTGGCTGTGACGCCGACACTAGAGAGCACCTCGGGAAGGTAGTAGGAAACGACACCGTTGCCGCCCCACTGTGTGACGACTGCGAGAACGACGATGATGTACGTCCTCCATCTGTTACCCTTGGTGGCGACGAGCTCCTTGAAAGACGAGTGGTTGTCCTTGTCGGATGCGACGGCGGCCACGATCGAATTGAGCTCGAACGCCACCAGCTCGTCGTCCATGTCGCCGTTGGCATGGTACTTGGCCAGCACCTGCTTTGCCTCGTCGATGCGCCCCTGTGCGACGAGGAAGCGAGGCGAGTGAGGACACCACCACAGCACGGCCAACTGCACGACAAAGGGGGCAATCTGGATCAAGCAGGGCACGCGCCACGACCACGAAGAGGCCCACGAGTTGGTGCCAAAGGTGATCCAAGCAGCCACGACGGAGCCAAGGTAGAAGCTGCTCGGTAGGAAAAAGAAAAAAGAAAAAAAAAGAATGAGACGAATGGACTTCAAGGTCGGCACGGATCGTTACAGACAACTCACCCGCACTGGTACAGAGCTGCAACGACGGGACGCTGGCGCGGGTGGCTGAGCTCGGTCATGAGCACGGGCGCGGCGACCATGGAGATGCCGCCGCCAAGGCTGATGACGACCCTGGCGCAGATGAACAGGTTGCGCTGGTGCGTCGGTTCAGGCAGGGTGATGATGGTCAGGATGCCACCGATGATTGCGACAAAGGAGGCGACGATCATCGCACGGTGTCTTCCGTACCGATCGCTGATCCACTGCCCCACAAAGGGACCGGCGATGATGCCGACGACACCCGAGAGACCAATGACGCCGATGAACGTCGGCTGGGGGGGCCCTTTGCTGAAGTCAAACATGGCGGCAAACCAGGGCTTGAGGGTGAGGAGGCCGGTAAACAGGGAGCCATCGTAGCCGGCGCCGTACGACGAGATGAGGCACATGAACATCCAGAAGTTGAGACGGCGCAGGCCATCGTCGAGGAGCCAGTTCGAATTGGCGTTGTTGCCAATCGTCTGGAGCCGGTCGTTGATATTGTTCGTCATGGTCGTAGGGGGGGAAAAACCTGAAGTCGTAGATGCATGCACGGCGACTCTATTTATGCTGGCTTCGGCTGATGCGGGGCCCCTTCTTTCTACCACCGAGCCGAGTTCTGCGGACGCGCTGCTTTTTTCCCGTACCGACATCGGCGGAACACCACCACCACCCGGCCGTAGAAGCCACCACGGAGCCGGGAGAAAAAGTCTAAAACAGCTGCTGCTTACTGTATCGCCTTCTCGACATCTAGGCCCAACCCCTTGGACGACGATGGACGACGACCTCAAGGGACTGTCCCTAGAGGAAAAGGTGGCGCTCATCGCCGGGAAGGACTTCAATCGGACCACGAGTATCCCGAGGGTGGGTGTGCCCTACCTCAAGGTTTCCGATGGACCGAGCGGCGTGCGGGGCATGGAGACGGGCCTCGAGCATTTTCTTGGCTTTCCCTTTCACGTAAGCGGCAAGCCTCCCGTCACGGCGGCCGTCTACCCCTGCTCCACTGCCCTCGCCGCCACCTGGGACAGGTCCCTGGCCCGGAGTGAGTGTTATTATTGTGTGATTCTCGTTTGTCCTGCACTGAACAGGGTGTACAGAGGCCGGAAGCGGCATCGCGCGAGATGGAAAGACAAAGAACTGCGCCATGATCCTGGCGCCCACCATCAACCTCATTCGCGATCCACGATGCGGCAGGTCGTTTGAGGCGTTCTCAGAAGATCCCCTTCTGACTGGCGAGCTAGCGCTTGCGTGGGTCAGGGGCGCCGAGGACGATCAGGGCATCCTTGTGACCCTCAAGCACCTCGTCGGCAACGAGTGCGAGACAAATCGGCACGGCAGCAACGTCATCGTCGACAAGGACGTGCTCAACGACGTCTACCTGCGCCCCTTTGAGATTATCATACGCGCAAAGCCCGACGTGGGAGCCATCATGATGGGCTACAACTCGATCAACGGCGAGCCCTGCTCTTCGCACTCCTCTCTCATCCGCGACGTCATCCGCCGCGACTGGGGCTACGAGGGCTTGGTCATGAGCGACTGGTTCGGGACATACAAGAATGCAGAGAGCCTCCGTGCGGGACTAGATCTCGAAATGCCCGGACCGGCGAACCATCGGACGGTGGAGAACGTCCGGAAGCTTCTCGCGAACAAGGAGATCGAGGAGAGGCACATCGACGAGGCGGCGGCCAGGATGATGCGGCTGGTGTTGCGGGCGAAACATCTGGCAAAGGAGCACGGCTATAAGCTCTTCACAGAGGAAGAAAGAGACAAAGACGTCGAGACAAGTGCGCCAGACGACGAGGCAATGAGAAGCGACGCCGTCGAGATCGGCACGGCGGCCTGCGTGCTGCTCAAAAACGAGGACCAGCTTCTGCCACTCGAGCCCGAGCGTCAGCACATCAAGCGAGTGGTTCTCATCGGAGAGCCAGCAAGGTCGCCAGCGCTGACGGGTGGCGGCAGTGCGGCCTTGAATCCCCATCGAGTCGTCACGCCACTGGATGCGATCCGGGCCCATCTCGAGCAGAACCACGCCCAGGTCAGCGTCGAATGGCTGGCCGGGTGCGAGGTGCGGCCCTGCATCCCCGATCCACTCATCGACGAGCACCTCGAGGGCAAGCCGATCGACTTTACCTGGCACGACGTCGGTTCAGACGAGCCCTATCACAAAGAGTCACAGTCGCTTCCCCAGTATCGAGGCTTCCTCGGCGGGTTCCAACCTCGGAGCAGTGCATTGGAGATCCGTGCCGAGTTCGACATGACGGCATCCACGAGCGGAGAGCACAGCATCAGTCTCCAGGCCTTTGGCTCCCTCTCACTGCACCTCAGTGGTCCTGCTCTTGCAGAGGATTGTGTCTGGGAGTACGATGGGGAGTCTGTGACGCCTGCCATGATGTTTGATCCGCGCAAGAGGTTGGAGACGCGACGTTTTCACATCACGGCCAAGCGTCGCCTTCATGTTCGCCTCTGCTACCGGCCTCCTGCGCATCCCATCATGGCGCTACCGGGGGGCCACAGCGCCGCTTTCCGACTTGGATTTCAGGAGGCCTCTGACGAGCGCAAGCCAATCGATGAGGCAGCAGCGGCGGCAGCGCAGGCCGACGTCGCACTCGTCTTTACCGCGACGGGCGCGGCGTTTGAGAGCGAAGGCATCGACCGCACCGACATCGCGCTGCCCTGCCGGCAGGACGAGCTGGTCGCTGCTGTGGCAAAGGCAGCGCCCGCCCGCACGATCGTCGTCAATGCCAGCGGCTCGGCAGTGACGATGCCCTGGGAAAAGGATGTAGGCGCCATCTTGCAGGCCTGGTTTGGCGGGCAGGAGGTGGGGCAGTCGATCTGCAATGCCCTTTTCGCCATCGACGGCAATGGTCCGTCGGGCCGGCTGCCCATGACGTGGCCACGCGATCTCCAGGACCACGCCAGCTTTGCCAACTTTCCCACGTCTGGCGGGCACCCCGTTGATGTCCGCTACGACGAGGGACATCTGTACGGCCATCGCTGGTACGAGGCGCGGGGTATACAGCCACTCTGGTGGTTCGGCCACGGCCTCTCCTACACCACATTCCGCGTCAAGGCTCTCGAGTCCGTCGACGACACCGTCAAGGTGCTGGTGGTCGAGAACATTGGAGGCCGACCAGGAAGGAACACTGTCCAGATCTATGCCTTGTCGGAGAAGGGAGACGCTCGACAGCTGGTGGGCTTTGGCGTCACCGGCCGACTCAAGCCGGACGAGTGCGAGACACTACACATAAAGATCGAGCGCTCGTCTCCCGCTGAGCCCCAATCGCTCGTCATTTCCGAGTCCAGCAGCCCTCATGCAGTGCTCATCAGACTGTAAAAGCGTCTTGAAGTGAATGAGTGGTGCATCATTAGGCTAATAGAGAGAGAAGAATAAGAATTCAAATGAAAAAGTTCTCGTGATGTTTGAGGATGAAGCTCGTCTGTTCCCACTGGTAGCTGTCGCGCTGCAGCGAGACATTGCCACCCTGGAGGAAGAGATTGATGCCCGCGCCGCCGTCGTCGACATCCGAGCCGTACTCGGGCCAGTGGGGCACATTTGCACCGTTGGGATCGAGGTGATAGGCAAAGTGGATCCAGGCAGACGACATGATCGACGCCACCTGATTGAGCTTGTCGTCGGTCGCGTACGAGCGCTGCGGCTCTGGCAGCCCACCGATGTGCTCGCCGGCCAGGATGGGCTTGTTGAAGACAAACTCGATCTCTGACGCGTGGGGTACGCCGAGCTTTGGTTGTTGCGCAAGTGTGTCGTGTCAATGTCGCATGTATAGATAGATACGCGATGGTCCAATGCCACACTCACATAGTCTGCCTTGTTGGGGCCGGTGCTGAACTGGGCGAGGGGGAGCGGCTGTCCGAAGCGGTAGCTCCAGGCCTTTGCCTTTCCCGTCTTGACTGCCGCATGGAGCTGCTGGCGCCGGCCGGACTCAAAGAGCAGATCGCCGCCAAAGGAGCTGAGCCGCTTGAACTGGTTGTTCTCGCCAAAGTACGTGTCGTTGGGCGAGTCGCCAAACAAGAAGGGCATGTACGGCGAGCCTACAGTGGGATCATTTGGCCACAGCTTGAGGATGTCGGGGATCAGTGGCTTGACGGGTGCGCCGTACGTCGTCAGGACCACATCAGCAAAGACGGCGTCGGAGGTGATGTTCTGGGGCACCGAAAACAGGGTGCCCTCGTCGACGTTGTCGCCCGTGATAAAGGGGATCGAGGGAAAGGCGCCGCGCTTGAACTGGGCCGAGGGCAGTCCACGCACAAAGAAGTCGTCCTGCAGCGGGATAAAGGCTGACTGCTGGTTCGTTGTCGCGACTGTGTTGGCAGCGTCGAGCTTGTCAGACGTGGCGCTGCGGAGGCAAGCGATCTGTGCCTCGTCGGACGCCGAGATGTCGCATCCAGCTTCAGCGAGGAACACCTCGTAGCGGTCCTGTGCGTAGGGGTCAGTGGGCGGCAAACGACGAGCGCTTTTGTTGTTCTATAGTCAGCATGACACAGGCATCTGCTTCTCTTACAAGTTGCTCACAGCGATGGGCTGCCGCTCTCTAGGATGCCCGCTCGAAAGAGTCCCTGGACGTCGCCTTCATTTGCCAACATCTGCTGTCCTACACTGTTGGCGCCAGCGCTCTCGCCAAGGAGCGTCACGCGGCTCTTGTCGCCGCCAAAGGAGCCAATGTTGCGCTGGACCCAGTGCAAGGCCTCTCTCTGATCATAGTAGCCGGCATTGAGGGTGGCGTTGCCGTTCTTGACCGCCGTGGCCATGGCCTTTCCGCCGAGGAAGCCAAACGCGCCCAGACGGTAGTTGAGTGAGACGTAGACAAACGGCTTGTTGAGCTCGAGTCCCCTCTGGATGAGCCTGGTCGCGTTGAATTGGGCGCCCGAGCCCGCGCCTTGATAGAACGCCCCACCGTGGATCCAGACTGAGGAGCGCAGTGCGGCTTCATTCAGAGCAGGCCCCCGATACGGGTAACTTCCAAGAGGACACTCACCCATGACGGGAAGCTTTCCCTTGACATTGCGAGGACGGTAGACGTTGAGAAAGAGGCAGTCCTCGCTGTACGCCACCCCAGGGTCATTGTAGACGAAAGGGGGCTGCCTGCAGACGGGGCCGGCTACGGTGGCATTGCGCTTCTTGCTCGACGTGTACCTTTGCACTGGCTTTGTCTTGGTGAAGCGGTGTTGGCTTGTGATAGCCTGGGCGTATGGAATGCCTTGATACTGCAGTGAGGAAGCAGACATCGACGGCTAGTCAGACAGAGCAGACAGTCACTCTCAGTAGTTGCTGGCCGGGACCGCCTCACTTCTTCGACCTCTTGCAGGCAGTTGCCGACAAAGGTGCCTTGCTTTGCCGTCGTAACTTCGGCCCTGCACGCTGGGGCTGCAGCAGCCTGGACAAGCAGCGTGGCCAGAATGAGCAACAGATTCGCGATCATTGTTTCGAGAGAGGTGGCGTGGCATTGTCATGATGGGTCCCGACAAGAGACACCTTTTTATCCTATCCACCAAATCTCAACTATTCATCAGTCTCAGAGGACGAAACACGTTCGGCAGTGGTGGAGCCGATCTGTGGGGCCCGTTAGCTCCTTACGGAATAATCGGCGAGAAGAATTCTTTGACGTCGACGCTCCTTTTTCGGAACTGCCGGGGGAGGAGACCCCATTGCGTTGCTTGAAGCTGATCCAAGCCGACAAACACCATGTTGCCGACCAGAATCAGACGGCATCGGACATTCATGGTCTTGTCGACCTCCAAGGAGAGGCACTGCCGCACAGCTACTATTCGGCTCCCGACGAGCGAACAAGTGCGACGGATAAAAGCCTGCTACTCGGCTCTTGACACGAGATCCGATTAGCGTCGCGGCTAGCCCAGAGGAAGAAAAAAAAAAAAAAAGAAAAAAAAAAAGGTCGGAACACGGAACAAACAAAGGTCGCGTCGCCCATGACTCGGAACGAAGAACGCAAGCAAGCCTCTCTGACCTGGCCTGCTTGCGGAGCAGCCAGCAGCGATGTGGGCCAGCAACGACGGCCAGCGCTGGACGAGGGCGCTGGATCCTGCCGAGAAGAAGCTGTCCACCATCAATAGTGTCCTCGATGGCCAGTGCAACATCTCCTTTCTCGTCGCCATCGCCGTCGCGGGCCAGCCGCTGTGCGTGGACGCGTTCCGACGTGCATGGGTGCGCGTCCGGCAGGCCATGCCCATCGTAGCCGCCGAGCCGGACTCGGGACAGATGATGGTGTACGAGGCTCCAATCAAAGACGAAGACATGGGCGCATGGGTGGACGCAACTCTGCGCTTCGTGACAGCCAATGAGGGTGAGGCCGACCACCTGCGTGCCTCGTTGAACACGAGGCTCGCGGCGCCCGGCCGCGCCCAGCTCGTCGTCTGCATCGAGTCGGAGGAGACAGCGACTGTGGTGCTCAGGGTCAGCCACGCAGTTGCCGACGTGACGGGATGCCATGCCCTGATGCGATGCCTACTCGTCTCGCTCCTTGCCCGCGAACATGACGGCAACGATGACGACGGCGGCGGCAGATGTGTAAGTCTTGGCGGACCAGCCGCACTCCTGCCGCCGTCCACGCGGTCCTGGCTCGAGGCCTGCCACGGGCCCTACACCGAGGCACAATTGGCCGAAGGACGACAGGTCGGAGCGCACTTTCGCTCGCTCTTGGCCATGCGCACCTACGCACTCCCCTACCGCTCCGACTACCGCGACCGGCAGCACGAGAGCGCCTATCTCCGCCTGTGTCTCTCCGACGGTCTTTCAGCCTCGCAAGTCCGCGCCCGGGCCGCGCGAGCACAGCTGTCGGTGACATCGATTGTCATTGCAGCCAAGCTGCTGGCGATGCGCGATCTCTTTGCCCGGGGCGACGAGCAGGGCTTTGTCGTCCAAGTCGCCTTCAACGCGCGCCGCTTCTTCACCCGGCGGCCCACGCCCAACACAACGTGCAGCTCCGTCGTCGGCCTCATCGCCTGCCCCAACGTCGACGGCCTCGAGGTGCTGGCGCAGCACGTGTCGCGAGAGGTCAAGGCGCTGACAGCGACTCCAAAGGCGTCCTGGCAGCTGGCCGCCGTCAATGCAACGATCTCTGCCGACGAGGTGCACCCTCCCGCGACGTGAGTGCATGCTGGTGTTGGTCGAGTGGATCAAAAACTGATGGGTAGAAGAGCGCTCCTGCCAGTCTCCTCAGCGTGTCCTCCAACGGCCTGTCTGACGCCGACGACACGGGCGTGCCCGCGCGTATGGAGACGGCCGCGGGCCACCTCGAGGTGCGCGACTACAAGCTGGCCATCCGGCAGCGCCGTTTTGATCCGTGGGTGGCTGCTTCGTACTCGAGCCTCGAGGACGCACCCGAACTGACGCTTCAATACAGCACCTCGCAGGCGTACACGCGTGGCGACCACCTCTACCTCGCCCTGTCGTACAGCGAGCGCAACTTTGACGGCGATGCAATGCGCGCTTTTCTCCAGATAGCCGTAGATCACATTGAGCAGTGGGCATGTAGCTAGTAAGGGAACAAAAGCCGTTAGGGCACAAAATCGAGAATCTCATGCGCAATCTCGTCGACGTGCGATTCGAGGGCAAAGTGGCCTGCTTCCAGCAGCTTGAGGCGGAACCGCGACGGGTCCACGTCGGCAGCAAAGGCCTCTGCGCCGGCTGGGACGAAAAAGACGTCGTGCTTGCCCCAGATGGCCAGCACGCGCGGCTGGGCCTCGCGGAGCACGCGTGCAAAGTCCGGGTACAGGGCGACGTTGGTCTTGTAGTCGCCAAAGAGGTCTAGCAGCGCCTCTTGCCGCTCAGCGGGCTGTGCGAGGAACGTGTCAAGCGCGTACGTCTCTGGGGCGATGCTCTGCGGGTCCGGATGTCCCATCTCGTACTGCCATCGGATCGCATCGAAGCCATTGTGGATGCGGAGCTTGTCCCGGTCGGCCTTGGTGCCACTCTTCCAGTAGTTGCGGATCCCAGCTTCCTCCCACGCAGGGCCGAGGCCGGCCTCGTATGCGTTTCCGTTCTGCGTGATTAACGTGCTGAAGATGTCGGGTCTGCGCAGAAAGAGCCGCATTGACGTGGGTGCACCGTAGTCGAAAATGTAGACGGGTGTGGGAAGCGGCAGTTTGATAGCCTCGAGGAAGGCTTCCAGTGTGCGCGAGAGGTTGTCAAAGGTAAAGACATAGCCAGGCGGTGTTTCAGTGAAGCCAAAACCGGGCAGGTCCGGTGCGACGACGTGGAAGCGGCGCGCGAGGCGCGGCATCAGCTCGCGGAACTGGAACGAGCTGGAGGGGAAGCCGTGGGTGAGGAGGAACGGGGGCGCGTTAGGATCGCCCATGTGACGGTAAAAGACCTTTGTGCCGTCGGGCAGCTCGATGCGCCCGACCATGACTCTGCTGTTCTGCTCTCCCATTGTCTCTACGGGTTGAATCTTGGACTGGCCCCCCTCCTCTTATATACCAGTGCGTTGTTGCGAGCCGGGGCATGGTCTGGTGCGATGAGCGCGCACGGACCCGCAAGCTCGGCCGTAAGCTCGCGTTTAGTCTAAGCTCAGCTCGGTCTTTGCCGGCTTGGGCCGAGGATACGCCCGAGCTTTCCCACCGGACGCCGTGCTCCGACCGACGGTCCTTTCTATTCTTGTTTGTTGAGTAGGCGTGATGCAGACGACGCCGTCGTCGACGAGCGACGCCACGTCAGCGGCCGCACAAGCCACGTCCTCGCCGTCGAGGCCAGCGCGACAGACGCACCGTCGCAAGCGAGCCGCCTTCAATTGCTCCAACTGCCGGTGCGTTTGTTGTGCATGGGTTTCCAAGCTCTTTGAGTGACACTGAACGGCGCGCCAGGTTGAGAAAGGTCAAGTGCGACCGACAGCGCCCGGTCTGTGGGCAGTGTCTGAGGAGAGACGAGAGCGATACTTGCCAGAGCGGCCAGGATCGCGCAGCACCGGCCGGCCTGCAGCATGACGGTGGCAGCAGCATCAGCAGCAATGGACACGGACTGATTGCAACGGTGCTCGACGAGTTGCGCCGGGTCAATTCCCGTCTGGCGGCTCTGGAGTCTAGTAGCAACAGGTCCCTGGATCTGTCGTCGCCGCCGTCGCTTACCACTTCGTCTTCGCGGTCTCTGCCTGTGTTCAGTCCGCCAGCACCGGCACCAGTACCATCGTTGAGAGCGGCGTCGAACCGGCATCAGGAGGCTGCCGAGGCGCTGGAAGACTTTGGTCTGGGTGGAGAAGCGCTTTTCGAGTCTGCCGCCCATCCCGCCGATGGGTGGCGCGAGTGGATGATGTTCCAAGGCGTCGAGGAGGGGTTGAATAGCGCGCCCGCTACACCTGCTGCGACGCCCACTTCGATCGCAGACGTCCTCGAGAGGCTGCCGCCGAAGCATATCGCCATGCAGCTCGTCACGCTGTAGTGAGTCGAAGTGTTGACCCTCCTCCTGGCCGGTCATCCATGTTGAAGCGGCAACACGCCACAGCCGCATCCGCGTGTACTTTCTCGTCGGACATGTCGTCCACCTGCCTACGCTCCGGCGCAAGATCGAGGCGCTGTATGTGAAGGTGGCCACATCGCAGCCGCAGCCGGCAGAAACCGGTTTTCTTGCCTTGCTGTTTGCACTCTTCTCCCTCACTCTCACCCTGCTTCCCCGGCACCAGGACGAGGAGCTGTGGCCGGACGTCCAGGCGTACGCCAACGCCGCCACCGTCGCAGAGTGGCATCGCACCGCCCTCTGCTGCCTCGATGCTGCCCTGTCGAGGAGGCCTGCCGCTTCTGCCTTCTCTTTATCCTTCACCGGGGACGACTCCAACCTCATAGCCGTGCCCCGTGGCCTGGACCGGTGGGCACTGCGGGCGATTGTGCTCCTCGATCAGAGCGAGGCCGATGCAGACGTCCGTCTTGCGCGCCTCCGCGCCGCCCTGACATCGGCCACGCAGGCTCGGCTGGGCGTGGCACCAGCCGCTTCCCCGCTCGAGCTCGAGATGGACCGCCGGCTCTGGTGGGCCCTCGTCGTCAAAGACTGGTCCGGCGGGATGGCACCCTGCGCATACATGGTCCATCCCGCCCTGTTTGACGTGCCTCTACCCAAGGATTGGTGAGCTTGCTGGCTGTTTGTGCGCTCACTTGGAGCGAGTTTACTCACTGATGCGTATCTCTCAAACCAGCAACGACGAGGATCTGGAGCAAGGCGGGGATCCCCGGCCCACTGGGATGCACACCGAGGCGTCGTTTCCCATCGCCATGGCGCGTCTGGCGTGGGTCATGCGCGAACACGCCGACCGGTACCACCGCGTCGATCGCCTCGCCCTCGACCGCAGCCCGGGCCTCTCGCTCGAGGACACAGCGGTGCTCGAGAGAGAGTACCGCGACTTTCTCGCTCGGATGCCTGACTTTTACAAGGAGGCGCCCCACCATGGGGAGGCGACCATCCGGGGCAGCCCCGTCCTGACTCAGGCCTGGCTGCTCATACAAGCCGTCCTGCATCGGTGGGTGGGACTGTATACCTTGTCTTCCTCCCTGCCAAATCTGACATTGATGTCCGATCGCAACGACCAGGCTCCTGCAGCTCAACAGAGCCAAGATCGGCGGCTACGCCTCGGCGCGCCAGCTGTGCGTCGATCTGGCCGTCGACATCCGTGAGTGGTCTATGATTTCATCCCTCCAGGCCCTTCCTCCTGGGCTGACATTTCCTCCAACGCTACTAGTGACGCTGCAGAGGCGCATCCGCCGGCGGTGCTCCGTTGTCGACGTTCTCTGGCTCAATCTCGCCCAGAGCTTCTCTGCAGCTCTGATCCTGTGCCTCGACATGATCAATGCCAACCTGTGCCGCAGCACTAGCAGCGTCAGTGGGCGCGACCGCGAGACGCTGCTCCAGCTCGTCGAAGAGGCCCTGGCCGCCTCGCGCTTTGTCGTCGCCGTCCACGGTCGGATGGCCGTGCGTATGCGTCGGGTCCTCGGCGTCCTCGTTGCCGAAGAGCAGCGTACGTTTGCGCGCACGGCGCCCTGCTCGCCCGCCGAGGCCGAAGACGCGATGCGGACGATTGCGGCAAAGGCCATTGCAGAGGTGCGCGCCCAGCCGTCGCGCACAGTCGCCAGTCGCGCCGACGAGCGACCGCTGTACGGCCGCATGGACGCAGGCGCCGTCGATCCAAACGGGGTCTCGCTCCCCGCGGCCGCTCCCTCGGCGGCCCTGCCCGCCGAGCTCTCCTTTGCGCTCCATCACCACCTCGAGGGCGTGAATGGCAGCCCAGACGAGGAGCAAGCGAACCCTGCGATGCCCATCATGGACGAGTTCTGGAGCTGGCTTCTCTCTCAGAATCTCTTTGAGTCTACGCCCCCGCCACCGGCTCAGTAGAGGTTCAATGCTTGGTCCCATTCTTATTGAGCAGTCTTGTGTTGCTCAGAGACAATGACGAAGGCCAGCTTTGAGCGGACTCTGCGCAGTATGGACTGGAAAGGGCTCAAAGCAGTGTCCGACGGTTGTCGAAGTGACGACAAAACCTGGTGACACCTTATAATGCGATGCTGCAGAGGCTTGCACATCTCTCTGGAGGACAGGCGACGAATGACCGGTTGCTTCAAGCAAACGTCCAGCGAGGAATTAGCGCCTCACGTCAGCCCACATGAATACAAAAGCGAGCGCCGTCACGCTGTGAGAAGCAAGCCCCGGGGCCCGTTTGATATTTTGTGAGGCGCTGTGGTGTGGCGGCGAGGCTCAAGACGCGCCCGGTCACAAATGACCACCCAAGAATCTGCTGCAGTCAGTCACGGCGAGTGTACGACTGCTCCTTGCGGGCGGCGCCGCGCAACCAACGACGGAGTATTGCCGGCCGCGTCGTCGCTGCACGTCACTATCACTCTGAGCACAAGGGCACGCCTGTCCTGAGAATGGGCGCTCTACGCTTGACGGGGCGCTCCGCGCCCTTCACTCACAATCACACACAGTAGAGACTTTACGTGCCGATGGCTGAGCGATTTGAACCGCAACGCATAGTCCATTTCGTATTTTCAGTACCTTCTCGGTCTTGGCGTCAGGCATTTGCGTGCTCGGGGCGAGCAGACTCAAAACCTCGTTCTGTCTTTCTTCGGCAGACGGCCTTCTCTGATCTCTGTTTGTGTGCGGCTCATAAGGGCATGGAAACAAATGTGCAATAGGATATAAGAGAAAGAGACAAGTGCAAGAATATTTCTCTCCCCATTCCTCCTCCCATTCCTGCCAAATCTACCGGTACGACCGACCCAATTCGGAGAATAACAGATAGAATGAAGAAGTGGTGCGTGGAAGAGAGAAAAAGCCCTCACCGATTTGGCTGACATAGCTTCACCAGTGTGTTGCTCTTCGTTGTCCTCGTCGGGCTCTCCTTTAGCGCGGTGCTCGGGGCACCTGCACCCGCCGGCGGTAATAGTGTTGTTGCTACGTCTTTGTGCAATGCCGCCCCAGGAGGATCGCTCCAGCATGATGCGACTAGAAACCTCTATAAGAGAACCGACAAGGGCAAAAAGGTGCATGACGAGGGGACAAGCAGCAACTCCAATATCGTCACCACGACGGAAGAAGCTTACAATTGGGTTTACCGCGTACCAGTAGGAACGGCAACTGGATTTCTCTTCCGCGGGGACTCGTCTCAAGTTGCCACCTTCATTGAGCAGATGGAAAAGTACATCAGGGACGGGGAATTCGGCGACAAGAAGCTTGTTCACGTTTCAAAGTGGACAGTGCCCAATGATGAAGGCCATCAGGGAGCTCAAGTTACGGTCGAGCCTGTTGGTGAGCAGAGCAATACCGATAACGGCGAAGAGGAAGTAACAGCAGAAAAGAAGGAGGTGAGTGGATGGCCGCCTCTCTTAAAAGAGCTCAATATCTGGTACAAGGATTTTCAAGCTCTTCTCCAATACAGTCTAAGTGTGTTACCTTGCGTTGAAGCATCATCAAAGCGGTTGTGTCCGAATAGGAAGTTGAGATCCGATGATTTGATGGCGACGCCTGTGGTGCGGTGGATCGAATAACGAGAGAGTATCTTATAAGGGCCAAACATCACGCTACGCAGAGTAGTGTGGAGGACAGTCGGCAAACCAATGTGTCTGAAAAGCCCCCCTAGGTAGACCTCTGAAAGAGTCAAGATGGCTGCCGCCAGCGCTTGCCATGGGCGCACTCATTCGATTAGCCTGGCGACTGGCGTTGTGTGGAGCTATCGCATACTCTGTTGCTGACGCAAGGGATGACGAGCGACGCCATGCCTGAAGCATCGACAGAGTCTGACCTAAGACATGGCGTGAGCCCCTCTGTGGCAATGTGGAAGAGGTGTGCTTGACTGAGATGCGCCAACCTGCCATGCCGGCCAATTGCGTCACCGACGGAGTAGTGTAACTCGTCCCGGCCTACGGCAACCTGGCAATGCCCCGTCCTCCTTACCGCATCTGGCCTTCTTTCTGCGGGAGGTTGACCAATACCTCGACAGGTGTGATTGAGCCAAGAACGGTATAGTCTTGCTCTGCTCCGTCAGCGATGGCCTAGTTGCAAAAACAAAGAGGCTATTCGAGGCCTGCGCGCATGAATAGGAAGGCTATTCGAGGAGCTTGAGGAACGTTTTAGTCAGGCTAGGGTGACGTGATCGTACTCGCAAGATAGGAAGCGCCTTCAAACGCGGAGCAAAGCGTAGATGGCCACGGAAGCGGCCAAAGAGACTCCCCCCTTACTCTTTGACGGCCAAATCTCGGTGGATTTGTCAGAAATTCTGAGTAAGAGAGGTCAGTGGAGCTACAAAAAAGGGGAAGCGGGTCAAGAACACATCCCTCGGCTAGCCACCACCTCGTATCTCTTTCCCTGCTCCTCTCTTTGACGGCAGCAGCCACTGCAACGATGAGGTGTCTGTACGCCATCACTTTTGCCAGCGTCTTCTTGAGCTTAGTTCTGGGGTGAGTATCACCTCGGGGATGTTTGCCCATTCATTATCTCATGCTGACGATGTATACAGACGAGACACAATCGACAAGCTTAGTTGCATTCACGACCAAGCAGTGACGCATCAAGTCGTCACCGCCAGCCACAAACCTTTACCGTTCCTGCCAGATCGGCACAAGAGCGCGACACGAGTGCTGGGACAGCAGCCGAGCTTATCGGAAGGCGACCGCAGCATCAAGCCTTTTCAGGGAGAGTCACCTGGATTGACCACGCATGAAGTTCACCCTCCTCATAGGGTTCGAAACCGACAGGTGACGAGCCCGCTTGGCGATAATGGCGATGTGGCCACGACAACAGCTTACTGCAACCACCTGGATAAAACATCGACGTATCTTGTCCGCCGCGCGGTGGTGCACAGCCATCCGCACACCGTCCACCACTCAATCGACATTCCGCCTTCAAGTGAAAATGCGCAGAATGTCGGTGACAGAGCCATGCGGCTGAAGAGGAGAGGCTGGATCGAACAGGATGCTGCGCTGGAGCAGGAATTGGAAGCGAGCAAAGGTAGATTAGAGGAATTGGAAACCGATTATGTCACAACTCTTGCTGCCATCCACTCGGGAAGAGCACCGCGTGAAATGCACCTGTCGACCGACGATATCGTAATTGCGGCAAACAAAGTCACTGGCGTGTACCTGAGGTACTTGGCATTTCTGAGGATGAAGCAAGAGCAGTTTCGAGCTATAACGTTGAATCCTTCGCAGCTCTCTGAAACCGTGCTGCAGGCTCATGATTCGCTTCTCAAAGTCAATCAAACCACGTTAAAGGTCAAAGAGCAGATGAGAAATCACATTCAATTTTACTTGGGCGCACGAGGGCTTTTTGTTGGCGGATTATCGGCAAAGGATTGGGTCGGTGTTTCATGGGAATCCATCGACAGGATGTTGGCCGATGCGATGAATGAGCAAATGCAGTCAGACGCGCTGATTGCACACGCCAAAGGGGAGGCCACGCCCTCGCAGGGCCAGCAAGCGAGATGGGTGAAAGACGAGATCGAGGAGCTATGCGAAATGAGGCTGAGAATACTAGAGGAAAACTTGAAGGTATTTCAAGAATTACCCAAACAAGGTGACATTGTCTTGCCACACATCGGCTTTGTACGAGAACAGTGCGGTCAACTCGAAAGGCGCATCCATGAAGTTCAGGAACAGTGCAAGAAGATTTTCGAGGATACAAAACGAAAGACTGTCCAGCGCAAGGGTCATTACAGACGCAAAAGTGAAGCATCGTCTTCGAGGCAACACCTGGGCAAGAGAGACGGCAGTGGCCTTATTGAACGGGCGACAAAAAGGCACGACTGGCGTGAAGGTAACCAAAAGGCATTGGAGCGCGTTGTATATCTAATCGACAGTCTAAAAAGGTTGATTGAGGGTCGTGATAAAAGAGGCTTGGCTGTGCACGAGATGGTGAAAAGGTGCATCAGCCAGATCACCACTCGCTACAAGGATCAATTGACGGCGCTGCAACAAGAGAAGGAGAAATATGAAAAGAGCCTGGGCAGCCGCGATCTCTTGGGGGGCATTGTCGAACTTTTCGAAAGAGAGGTCAAAGACATCGGAAAAGCCATGGAGGACGTCCAGACGCAGCTCAGAGCACATTGCCAGAAGTTCAACATCTCTGGGTGCGGCGAAGGTACGAGCATTCAAGCCAACGATCAAGCATTACAGAGAAGGGACGCTACCAGCAGTCTTAGAAAGCTACAAGGCATTGGCGCCAAAAATCTTCCGACGCCACCAGAGCAGCCCATCACACGCTTCGAACCAAGCGACGAAAGGCTCAATGTACGAGAAAAGAAGCCATCGAAGAAAGTCAATCGTCGAGGAGGCGGCGAAGGGAACGGTATTGGGGGTCAGATGCGACCATCTTGCGCGAGGTGTGCCGACGTTTTTGCGGTGAAGCAGCACTCTTCCAACACCTCTTCACATGTCGCTCGTCATCTTGCCGAAAGTCATCCACAAAAGCCGACAGAGATAGCACAGCAAAAGCTTCTGAACGACGGCGTTCACGAAAAATCCGGGGAAGATGAGGCGTCGAAAAACGCCGCAGCTCCGTATGGCGGTGCAAACGTTGCTAAGACTCGTTCCTCGCGGGCAAACACAGCAATCATCTCTAAAAGGAGCACCGAGGAGAGCGCGACAGATGATCTGCGGAAGCTTGAGAGCACATACTTGAGCAAAAAAAGACAGTATCAGGACGAATTAGTCTCGGCCTCCAATCCCACTCATGGTCCAGCGGTCAAGAAGGCGAAGGCAGATTTCGAACAGATTGCGAGCAGGCTGAAGTCCCTTCTTGATACTTACGTCGACGTGGACTCTGGCGACCCATCTACCAAACTTACTCTAAAACACGCTACAACAGTATTATACGAGCGAACGAAGGAACGAGAACAAGAAAAGCAGAAGGAGGAGGCGAATTGGGAGCGTATCCAAGTGATAGAAGAAGAAAAGAAAGAGCTTCAAGAGAAATATGACTCCGTTGAGGCTAATTGGGCTAATAACCCGGACTCTGACTAGAGCACACAATGTCAGCAAACGAAGAAGACGACCTTCAAGTACCAAACAGCGACTACCACTCCATCTGGTGCATAAAATCACATTACGCACTTTCTTTCCGACATTCCTAGATACTCTTTTGTCTCTCCCTCCCTCTTGTCTCTGACTTGGGTGTGCTATACTGTCCTGTGCGTATCTTTACTTTTCCATGACAGAGAAATTCATCCATCAACAGAATATTCATCATCTTGCAGGGATTAAAGGCCGAGATAAACTTGTTGACTAGAGGTCGTGGGCCAAATTTGCGCCGACGAAGTGAGTGAGGTAGCTGAACTTACGTACTATACGCAACTATCTAGACTGCTTGAAGTCCTCTGCCTACTTTCCTTGCCAATGTGGGGCAGTGACCTGTGAAACACCTCTCATTGCGGTGCTTCGACGCGTGCGTGGAGCAGGTAGATGGCTACGTATGCAGTCAGACAGACGCCCCCTTGCTCTATGTCGGTCAGATTTCGGCGAAATTCTCCTTTGAGTAACAAGGGTCGTGTGGGACACAAGCGTACTTTTCGCTTGTGTCAGGGCCTTGGGGCGTCGTGGACGACCCGGTGCCCTGCTATTCCTTGTATTCTCCCGTTTTTCGCTTCCTTTTGTTTATTTTGCTCGCCTTGTTTCTAGGCCCTATTTCTCGGGCCTTGTACGCAGTGCCCGACTCCGAAGCAAGCAGACGAGCGCTGCGCAGCGCAGCAAGCTCCAGTGCACTCTCAAGCAGGCACCCAAGCAGGCGTCCAGGCTCTCAGGCACGGTTTCCAAAAATTAGCAGGTGTCGCAGAACAACGCCTACCCTATCTAACGAGCCTCTTTTCAGGAATCTCTCTTCTCTCCTCGTCGCCGAACTCCTTCTGACAGACCCTGTTCGCGCAGGTGCTAGCTCCGTCACAGCTTTCCACCCGTGTGCATCTTTCTCCCTCCACTTCTTTCCCATGTCCGCATCGATGAGGTGTCTGCTCGCCATCAGCATTGGCGGCTTTCTCTTCAGCTCAGTTCTTGGGTGAGTGTCTTCGCGAGGATTTTTGCCGACCACTTGATCGTGCTGACAATACATGCAGACAAGCCTCGAACGACAAGCCTGTATCCTCTCGAAACAATCCAACGACTCAGCAAGTCGTCACTCCTAGCCACACGCCCCTATCGTCCTTGCCTGATCGGCCCCAGAGCGCGGCTCGATTGTTGGTACAGCTACCGAGCGTTTCTTGCGAGGACCGCAGCCACCAGGCCTTCCACGTGAATGGTCAGGAGCAGAGCGATTCGCTCGAAACGACCACGCATGACCTCCATCTTCTTGGAAAGACTCCAACACGACAGGTGAGAAGCCCTCTTGGCTGCAATGACGACACCATCACGACATACATTCGCTCCAATGGCCGGGAAAAGACATGGACAAAGGTTTTCCGCCCTGCAGTAGATCGCAGCAGCTCGCACACAGTCTACGGCCTAATCAACGGATTGCCTTCAAGCCCACATGCCCATAACGGAGCTGACGATGCGTACGAAGACAAGAGGCTCAGGAAAAGAGGCTGGATTGAGGATACAGCTGCTCTGATTTAGCAAATCAAAGCCAACGAAGAAGACTTAGCAAAATTGACAAGCGCTATTGGTGCTATCCATTCTGCAGAACGTTCAAGGAAAGCGCAACCTTCGACAGAAGATATCACAACTGCGGCAAACAAGATCACTGTCCAGTACAAGGAGTGCTTAATCTTGCTGGGGACAAGGCAAATGCAGTTTCGAGATATAATGATGAAACCTGAGCTGCCCCATGATGTCGTGCAGCAGGCTCAAGAGTCGTACTTCCAGGTCACGACAGTCATATTAGAAGTCAAAAAAAAGCTTAAACGACACATTCAAGCACACGGGAGAGCACAAGGAGTACTTAACGACGCAATATCGGCAAAGGATCATATCAATTTTTCGTGGGACGACTACGACAGAAAGTTGGCCAAGAAAATCGAGGAACACGTTTGGGAGCATGTGATACGTACACCCACAGCAGAACGGGCCACGCATTTGGGTGAGCAGCAAGCAAAGTCGATCGAAGAAGAAGAGATCAAAAAACTATGCCAGAAGAGGATGTCCATTTTGCAGGAAAACTTGACGTTCTTCCGAGCATTAGCTGAGCGAGGTGAATTAAACTCGCCGTCCCCCGGCCTCCTACAGAAACAGTGCAGTAAGCTCGAAGCATGCATCAAAAATGCTCAAGAACAGTGCGATGAGCATTTGTACTCGAAACAAGAGACTCCTCAGCGCGAGAGTCATTCCAGAAGCAAAATTGAGGCGTCGTCTTCGAGACAAAACCTTGTCAAAAAGAGACGGCAGTGACCTGCGTGCACAGGCTACTGGAGACAACTGGCGTGAGGATAACCGAAAGGCGTTGAAGCGCATTGTAAGCCTGAAAGATCTTCTGAAAAGCATGATTGGAGGTCGTGACGAAAGAAGTTTGGCTGTGCACGTAATGGTACAGAAAAGGATCAGCCAAACTACCATTCGCTACGAGCACCAAATGACGTCTCTGAGAAGAGTAGAAGAGAAGCATGAAGATAACCTCGGCAGGAGCGAGCTGCTGGGTGGCCTTGTCGAGCCTTTTGGAAAAAAGTCCCAATCATCGAATCGAAGAAACCATTAAAGACATCCAGGAGCAGCTCAGCACGCATTGTCAAAGATTCAATATATCTGGGGGCGGCGAAGGTAAGAGCAGTGCAGCATACGACCAAGTATCAAAGAAAGGGGGCGTCCTACGTATCAAAGATCAGATCTGTGACGTGCCTCCGCATCTCATGACTCAGCAACACTGGGCTGGCGCAGGCACAACGAAGCATGCCGACACGCGCCTGACAAGGCGCTTAAGGTGGTCGGCTCTCGTTCTGCATTCAATTTGCTAGCCCCGTGTAATGGATCAGATTGCGCGACCCTAAGGGTATTGGGAGCTTTATCGTGTCTCATTTTTAGCAGGAGAGACGTCTGACACCGCCTAAAATGAGCGTGCGCGGAGCCCAAAAAATTGCCCCGTTCTGACCGATTTCACGCCTTCACCGCAACCAGCTCGGTCCTACGACAACTAGATCATAAATTCGTCTTTTCTCCTCGTTCTTTCAGAGATACATGAGCCTGCCCAGGACCCTTGTTGTGCTGCAAAAAATCCATGCTATTAAGGATGACGCAGTAGGATGCTGAGTGATCAGAAAACCTGTGCAAAGAACGTACGCGGTGCGGAGGGGGACGGTAGATGGCTGCATACGCAGTCAGACAGACAATTCCCTTGCTCTATGATGGCCAGAGCTCGGCCAGATTGTTCTCTGAGTAACAAGGGTCAGTGAAGCTACAAAAAGACGTGTGCGTCACACGCGTACCTTTCCGCTTGTGCCAGGGCCCTGGGGCATCTGGACGACCCGATGCCCTGCTATTTTCTGTTTACTCCCGCTTTTCGCTTCCCCTGATTTGTTCCGCTCGCCTTGTTTGTAGTCCCTGTTTCTCGGGCCTGGTTCGCTGTGACAGAGGTTCGTAGCAAGTAGACCAGCGCTGCGCAGCTTAGCAAGCTCCGGCGCGCCCTCAAGCAGGTACCCAAGCAGGTACCCAAGCAAGTACCCAAGCAGGTACCCAAGCGGGCTCTCAGGCAGGTTTTCAGGCACGATTTCGAAAGATAAGCAGGCGCTGCAGAGCGACGCCTGCCCTATATAATGAGCCCCTTTTCCATACTCTCTCTTTTCTCCTCGCCGTAGAGTACAGTACAGTACATTCTGATAGACCCGCTCAGGTGACAGCTTCCTCACAGTTTGCCACCATTGTGCATCTTTCTCCCTCCCCTTTTCTTCCACGCCTGCATCGATGAGGTGTCTGCTCGCCATTGGCATTGGTAGCCTCTTCTTGAGCCCAGTGCTTGGGTGAGTTTCGTCGCGAGGATGTTAGCTCCCCACTTGTTCGTGCTGACGATACATGCAGACGAGCCGCAAACGGCAAGCTTGCATCCTCTCGTAACATTCCAAGCACTGACGAAGTCGTCACTGCCAGCCACACACCTCTATTGTTCTTGCCTGATCGGCCCCAAAGCGCGAGTCTACTGCTGGTACAGCAGCCAAGTGTTTCATGCGAGGATCGCAGACCCCAGACCCTCCACGTGAGTGCTCAGGAGCAGAGCGAGTCACTCGAAACGAACACGCATGACGTCCATCGTCTTCGAAAGAAACCATCACGGCAGTTGTTCGACTGCAATGGCGACGCGATCACGACATACATTCGCTCCAATGGCCAGGAAATGACAACGAGGAAGTTTGTCCGCCGCGCAGTGGATCGCAGCAGCTCGCACACCGTCTACCGTCTAATGGACATGCAGCAAGCAGGGTCGATCGAAGAAAAGTTCGAAAACTTATGCCAGAAGAGGGTGGACATTTTGCAGGGAAACTTAAACATGTTCCAAGAATTAGCTCAAGGAGATGAAGTAACCTCGTCGTGCCTCGGCTTATTACGAGAACAGTGCAGGACGCTCGAACTACACATCAGAAAAGCTCAAAAACAATGCAACAAGTATCTTCAGGACACGGAAGAAGCTCAGCGCAAGAGTCATTCCAGACGCAAAACCGAGGCGTCGTCTTCGAGGCAACATTTTGCCAAAAGAGACGGCAATGACCTGCGTGCACGGGCGCCACGAGACGGCTGGTATAAAGATAACCAAAAGGCCTTGGAGCGCATTGAAAGTTTGAAGAGGTCTCTGGAAAGCATGATTAAAGGTCGTGATGAAAGAGGTTTGGCTGTTGACGAAATGGTGAAGAAAAGCATCGACAATATTACCAATCGCTACAGGGAGCAAGTGACGTTCCTGAAACAAATGAAAAAGATAGTCGAGCGGAACATCAACAGTAGCTATCTGCTGGGTGGCCTTGTCGAACACGTTCGCAGAGAGGCCAATGCCATCAAAGGCGCCCTGGAGGACGCCCAGAGACAATTCGGAGCGCATTGTCAGAAGTTCAACATCGCTGAGTGCGGCGAAGGTACGAGCAGTGCATCAAATGACCAATGATTACAGAAAAGGGACGTCTTGCGTACTAAAGAGACAGGCGAAGAGAAGAAAGAGCTGCTGGGCAGATATTCCTTTCGAAGGCGGGCTTTGTTGATGACTCGGACTCGGACTGGAGCATACAATGTCAGCAAACGCAAACGACGACCTTAAAGCGCCGCCAATTGACTGCTCCAACTTTGTGCATAGCACCACATGTGCACGCTTTCTTTCCCGTCTCTTTTTTCCGACATTCATAGAGATCGTATTGTCTCTTCCTTCTTAATCTCTGGCTTGGCTGTGCTAAGCTCTCCTGTACATGTCAATACTTTTTTTCAAGGCATCGACAAAGTTTCAAACCGTCTTGCAGTAATTCAGGAGCGAGGTAGCATTGTTGACTAGGCTTCACGGGCCAGCGTGCTCCTATGAAGTGAGTAAAACAGCTGAAGACTGCTATACAGGCGCACTTGTGCAGACCGCCTAAGTCATCTTCCTTTACTTTGCTCGGCAACGTGGAGCAGTGATCTGTGAGGGACCTTTTATTGCGATACTAAGCACGGTGTCACTAAGAACGCCACGCTGTCTTTTTTTTGGGTCGGGGTTTGGCACACTCGTGACGACCAAAGTCGAGAGATGCCTCAGCTTCCGTTTCCGGTGGTGGTCTCGCTACTATACGGAACAGGACGAGACCGGCCTTATAGAGACCAACACACTTCAAGCCTGGTTTAGGCTAAGCTAGAAGACCGCGTTAGGTCGAGCTTTGCAAGTGGACTGCGTCTCGGCAACAGTGGGCTGGCACAGGCGCAATGGAGCACGCCGACGCACACTTGACAAGACACCCAAGGTGATCAATTCTCGTTTTGTATTCGATTGGCTAGACTCGTACAGAACATTCCACAACGCTGATAAAGAGTGGTGGGCACCCTATCGCGTCTCATCTTTACTGTGAACAATATTGAGGATCTCGGAGACCGGGTGCTCGATGGTTGCGGCTAGGCCGCCCTTCCATGCTCTGCCACTTGCCTTTTTTTGTTGACTGCGCGAAAGGCCTTTTTGCGGGTGGTGCGCTTCTTGCAGCTATCGTTGCTGTTGCCTTTCTCCGAGTCTTCACATAAGGCAGGCTCCTCGTCTCGCTTGGCCGTGAAGACGATACGACCGGCTTCGTCCTTGGCAAGGGTGGCTTGGGTGCCCAGGGGCAAGAGGAACGCTTCAAGTCGCCTGAAGAGGAACGGTTCCTCCTGTTTGCTCATTGAGCGCGCGTATTCGAACGTCTCACCAGGTTCAAGAGCTTTTGTGCTCTTTTCAACATGCTCCATGATGTGTTGGACAGTTGGCATGGTATTACTTCCTTCCACGCCCTTTGCATTTTTGATGTGTTCCATGGCTTGCTCGCCAGACCTCTTTTCTAAAGCGACTTGCCTGTGCTGGAGCTCGCTCTTGCTGTCCTTTAGTGGCTCTGCTTGAGCTGGGACACTCAAAATGAGGTCGGAACGGAGGCGTCTTCGTCCTAGCTTGTGCTGGCATCGATACCTTATCGATGCTCCATCTTTAGAGGAGTACCATGTCTCAATGTACACGTCCTTGCTGAAGTGTGTGCTGTCGGAGGTGGGCTCTTCTTTACTGCTGATGCTCTGCCCGGTATTTTTGCGTAGCACGGACAGACCGTCGCCAAACACAAGACAAGACGCCACCATAATTAGTAGCCACTTCCTGCTTCAACTAAGCCACGATCAAGCAAGAGAACAAGGGCGCAGATTGACTCACCTCAGCTGGCATCGAGATAGAAAACGCATAGTAATGTCGTGACACGTAGAAATGTGGGCCAAGGAGAAAGTCGAGAGAAAGGAGGGACAGCGCCTCTGCATCAAGCCTTCAAGATGGCAGGGTAAGCCACCTCTTAAGCCGCTGTATTCCAAGTCCACGTCTTGCCCTTCTCGGGCTGACACTTCTGAGGGGCACTAGAGCACCACGATGGCGTGCTCAAGTTCAAAATACGAAAATCGACGTCAACGTCCGACGAAGGTGAAAAGAATGGGCGGTATTTTATAAGCCTGCTCATGGCTTAGCACTGTGACAGGCTGTTCGGGGCGAAAACCTCTGTCATGGCAGAACAGAAGAACCGAAGTTATCTTTTAGCAGCTTATGAGTAAGCTAAAGGGAGAACGAGAGCGTCTTTACCGCGACACAGCCACGTCACAGCCTCGAGCGGAACGGACGACGGCCGGGTGACCCAAGCGACCTCAGCGCATGCAAAATGCCCTTAAACTCCTGCAAGACCGCCTCGATCTGGTGTACGACCATCTGCGCCTATTCCCTCGATCGTTTTATTGAAATGGATTGCCTCTCTGTTATAGTAGTAACGATATCTTCGCTGTTCTTGATCTGTTCCTGGTAGCCATTGGGTAAAGCCAATTTGGCGTCAATCTCTTCTATTAGCTGCCTTGCCCGATGCTGAAGATGGATTGCACTGCTTCCTCTGCCATGGGTTGGTTGACACACTGTTTCGAAGGTGAGGATCAAAGCTAAGATGAGGAGAAAGAGCAAGGGCAGAATGCGCATCTTGTTCTATTGATAACATTTGTCGTGGTGGTAAGGTATGTGAGCCACTGAACCCCACGGCTCGTCAGCTCCTTTGGCAGATTTATATTAGCGCCGCCGCCAAGCCTCGCCGGGGAATTTCCGTCTTACCACAGCCCCATACTCTGCGCCACAAGCTGATGTGGGCGCAGAAATATGGTTCAGACTGTCGCATTAAGTGCGTATTTGATGGCAAACGGGAGCAGCGACAGTCATAGCAGCAGCAGTGGTGCCAAAAACCATCGAGCAGCAAATTTCACTAGGCTCCTCAAAATATCTCTTTATTATTTTGTGACTATGACATTAGGAGTTAAGATGCTATTGAGTTTTCCAGCCAGCACATATCTGAGTCGCGGCAGCTCAGAAGACGATGTTGAGCGTATCGGAGAAGCCTTGAGTTGAGAGGCAGCAGGCCGAGATTGATTGGTTGCTCACAAGATGATGTCTCTCATCTCGGCTCCAACCCGGGAATATCTATGACCTCTCTCCAATCTGTCTCGGTTTCTGTAGTGCCACCGGAGCTTGATTCATGAGATGGCAAATTGCTGACGAGTCCAGCGGGTTCTGATCCACGACGTGGTCTGCTGCTTCTGTCCTCAGCAACCTCGGTTGGAACATGTGGTCTTCTGCGACCGCGATCGGTAGCCTCGACTGGACGAGTTGGTCTACTGCGACCGGTTTGGGCGGGTCCGTGTGCATGAGGTGGCTCACGCAACCGTCGAGCTGCAGCGGAATAAAGTTCGTTCACGCGCGCGATTACTAATGGTGTTCCAAAATAGAATCTGAAGTTTCTCTTCCCCTTGACCATGACTGGCTTGGCAGTGAAGGTGAAGTTGGTTACAGGGCATCCGCTTTTTCCGTCATCCTCATCATTCTTGACGAAATGACCCGATGTGCTGCATCTATCTTGTCGAAATTCCTGTATTTGTAGATCAATCACTTTTGCAACAATGTCGTCTTCGCAAGCGATATCAAAAAACCCAGGATCCGTTCCTTTCATATTTTCTTGGAGTCTCTTGATCGCCTCTTTCGCGCGGGCTTCGATCTCGGGAGGGAATTCGGGAGTTGAAGCGACCTCCTTACCTTTGTCCCTTCTGCTGCTTCTGCTGCTTCCGCCGCCACTAAAGCAACTGAACAATCGTTTGAGAAGCCGGTGCTCTGATGAAATTATGCCTTGTTGTGGGATGCTGGGAAGGCTAGACACGGACCTCGAGCTGTCGATACTGGTTGCAGCACTGAGCTCTGTTGGCTGGACGTTGCTGCTTGTCCTCGTGACACATTCTTCATTGGTCTGCTTGTCTTCGCTCGGGCTTATACTGCAGTAGTCTACAGTGATGTGGTTTTCTCTTTCCCTAGTGATGATCGTTTTCCCGTGCGGAGATCCTTCCTTGGGTTCCTCGAGGAGCTTGATGGCACACCCCTTTTCTTCGGTGCAGCTTCTGCTATGAGTTGGCTGAGACACTATCTCGATCGTGAGGATCAAAGCTAAGACGAGGAGAGAGAGCAGGGGAACAATGCGCATCTTGCCCTTTTGATATCGTGTGTCGTGGTTCTGAGAGGTGTGTGAGCCACTGCGACCCACAGCTCGTCAGCTCCTTTTTATCTTAGCGCTGCCATGCAACCCTCGCCGAGGAATTCCCGTCGGACCACAGCCCCATACTCTGCGCCCCAAGCTGATGCGGGCGTAAAGATACGGATCTTGTCGCATCGCGTGCGCGTTGATGGCAAACGATAGCAGGGGCATGGCCTTTGCTTCAACAGCCTCGTAGCACAAGTAGCATTTACGCTAGCTGGACATTGTTAGCATCGACACCCATTTCTGCCGTCAGTGGCAATGACCCTACTCAAGATTGCCTCTGCTCCAATTTCCTGTGAGCGCATTGAGAAATGCGTTCTTCATGGGGATGTGGGGCGCTTGCACTGGCCAGAAGCTGTCCGATACAGGTTCCCTCAGCTCCTCGGCCTCTTATCTCGAGCTGCACACGTTCTACTCTCGCTTTCCCAACTGTTCTCTTCTTGCCTCATAACAATGACAAGAGGAGGAATAAAGGTTTTATTGAAGTACACAGAAACGATGGACTTTCAAGTCTTGTAGTCAGCAAACATTTAGCACGCAACCGATCATTGGAGAGTTTCCAGCGTCTTGGAAAGCCTTGTCCAGAAAGGACCAGGCAAGATCGTGGTGGTTGCACGTAGCAAGACGAGCTTCATCTCGGCCCTATCGTGGCCGGAAATTCCACGAGCTGTCCGATACCTATTTCCGTATTCGGGTTGTCACCGGAGGTTGATGCATGAGGTGGCAGATTGCTGACGTGTCCAGCGGGTTCCGGTGCGTGAGGCGGCTGGTTGCTACTGGATTCATAAGTCGAATCATACGTTTCTCTGCCTTTTTCGATCTCTTCGCTCGTGCCATAGTAGATCCTAAAGGCCGTCGAATTTCCAGTTGTGGCTTTGTTATAATAAAGCCTCAATGCCCCTTCTTTGCGATTGCCATGCTCGTCTGTTTCCATGAAAAAGTTATTGCTGCCGAAGTATTCTCGTAGGAAGTCCTGCAGTTCGCCTTCGACGTAATTCTGTTCTCTTTCATTCTCATATTGGATGTCCTGAAACCCATGCTCCTTTTCTTTTCGTTTGTTCAATATGCCGTTAATTGCCATTTTCGTGCGTGCTTGGAGCGTACCTTCCATCGCGACATCTTCTTTGAATACTTCGTTGAGCTCTTCTTTCGAGATACTTTGAGCAGACCCCTTCCCTTTCTTCCTTCTTCTGCCTCCGCCGCCGTCCCTTCTGCTGCCCCCGCCTCCACCGAAGCAAGTAAACATTCGTTTGAGAAGCCTCTGTCCTGAAGAAAGCATGTCCTCTTGTGGAAGGCTGGGATGACTAGACGCGGACCTCGAGCTGTCGAGACTGGGTGCATCACCGAGCTCTGTTGACTCGATGTTGCTGCTTGTCTTCGTGAGACATTCTTCATTGATCTGCTTATCTTCGCTGGGGCTTATACTGCAGTAGTTCACAGTGATGTAGTCTTCTCCTTCACTGGTGATGATCTTTTCACCGTGTGGAGGGGCATTCTTGAGTTTTTCGAGAAGCTTGATGGCATACTCCTTCTCTTCGTTGCGGTCGCGGCCGAACGTGATGTAGCCGACCCCAACCCCTGCCTTCCCGAGCGACTCAGCCTGAATTTTTGCCTTCAGATCGTTGATTTGCCTCCGGATTCTCTCAGATTCTTCTTCGCTAATCGGTTTATTCTGGCGCCCGAAGAAGCTTACTACATCCTTCAGACGACAGGTGATTGTCCGAGCCTCCTTGCCGTCTTTGATCGGGTCTCCCAGAGAGATGCACCCGGTAGGCGAGCCCGAAGCCTGGAAAGATACCGCCCTGTAATGACGCCTGGTAAGCCAGCGACAACAATGGTGATAGATAAACTTACAACAACAGCACAAGTACGGCTGCCAGAAGCAGGTTGGCGCGGATTCGCATCTTACAGGCACCTTCTTCCAGGCTTGAATTATCGTCGAGATGAGGAGGGTGAAGTGGGAGCTTTCTTGACGAAAGGCGAGAGCGGAGAACGTGAACAAAGAGAAGTCTAGAACCAGCGAGGGCGAAAAAGACAATGGAGGAAATGAAAAGAGATGGGAAGGGCTTCCCATCTCTATTTAAGGCCTGACCAGCTAGCTTTTTTGCGAATACAGGCCTCGTATTCTCTGCTTCCCAGTTCAAGTGTGGGACTTTTGCACCCCGGGGCTTGGAGAATAGCCGTCGACGCTCCTGTACGGTAGGGGCTTCATTCGGTCCAGCACGACACTAGATTTCACGGGAATCTCCTGCTAGATATCCCTACAGTACGACTGAGCTGAGGAGCGGGATAGCCAAGCCACAACCCTTGTTCACCAGATGATGTCTCTAGCATCGAGTTCAGTTCAAAGGAGAGACTCATACGTGATGGATAGAACAAGTGCCTCTTGCTCTCTTCCTTACGAACGTGAAGCTGTTTTTCGGGGCGAAAGGCGAGGGAATTTATCCAGCCCTGAACTGCTGCACATTCACGTGTTACTTCATTGGTCCACGTCTTGACTGGTGCTTTTCGGTCGTATATGACGACACAATAACACCTTTCTCCTGAGTGCAAGGCCTGAGGCTGAAAGAGATCCTGCTGCCCTGTTCCACGAACTATTAATGTTGTTACAGAGTGCGTACAACAGCAAAAGACACTCGGCGCAAAGGTCGGCTAAACAGACGAATCGCCTTCGGCGAGCATTCGGTCCCTCGGGCTCAAAGCAGCAGAAACGGCTGCTCTGTAGAAAGAGTGAGAGTGAGCTACCGTCTAGGTGAGGGCGGGGAACATTTCACAGCTGAGGGCTGAGTTTAGGACTCTGCCTCGGTCAGCCTCGGTGGTTCAAACGCCAAGCTTGAAGAGATTCTGGAAGCCTCGAATCGTAGTGCGACCTGTTCCAATCATTGCACAGAAGTTGTTTACGCTTTCTCCGTCCACAACAAAAAAGACAAGGCGTTGATGTATAATAATCATTGTTTGTTGACAAGCAGAAGAGGGATATCTTCGAATACTCCATGTGAGTTATGGGAGCGTGTTGTGGCAGCTGCTCGGCCGCTTGCGGCGCCCTGGCATCGCCACATTGGGCTTCACTCATCTATGGCCTGAAGCTTGCCTGGAGGCCCACCCATAGTAAATTGAACAGCACTGGGCTGCAGCATTTGCAAAGGGGAGGTTGACAGTTGGTCCACGACGCCAGCGCAAATGTGTTTGTGCCTCAATGACCCAAATTTGTTCACGCGCTTCTCGAGCAAGCAGAAAACTACAGATGGCATTGTGGCCTCAATCTCGAAGCACCCCTTTATCTACCTTTGATCGATCATCTTTTAATCTAAAACCAGCCTGTCGCGGTCTCTCAGACGAAGGAAGCACTGCTTAAGAGGACCCTATGGCCTACATGTTTCGTGCGGTGCTTGGTCCCACAACTCTTTGCTAGATCTCATCTCTATGGTGCGGTGGTCTTGAACGCGGCCTGTGAGGAGTACTCTCCCGTCTTTGGCCCCTTCGACTGGATTTCCAATGAAAACACCGTTGTCTGACAGAAGCGCAGCTGGAAACGCCCTCGTCATCGCCATCGCCGTCGTTGTTGTCGCTGGTGTTGCCTAAATGGAAGTCTCTGTTGTCCTCGGTCTCTGCCGTACTTGGTTCGCCACTGCTGCAGACAAGAGGCGTGCTCCGGTCTTCCCGAACGTGGCTTCTGAACGAGGCGATATAGCCCTGAACCTCCTTACTCCAGTCCTGATTCCCGGATTTCATAGCCATTAGTTCTTGCCAGCATGAGACACCATAATGCTCCCGGCAAGGCAAAGTCGCTTTCATGACGTACAGCTCCCTTATCTGGTGTTTGAGCGCATTTATCTCGGCGGCGGCATGCGAGGTCATTGCCAATGTCTCTTCATCGGTCCTCGCGCAGATCACGCCGAGCGCCCCTTGGAACGCCTTTCTCTTGCCTATCTCGCTGTTGATTTGAGCAATTGTCTCTATGTCCTTTGGATCAACCTCGGAGGTGCTGCACTCTTCTGTTGCAAGTCTGTCCGTTCTTTCCGAGGTCGTAGCAATGCTCAAATTTGAAAAATCATGAATGACTGACGATGCATCGAGCCTCGAGTTCATGAAAGACTCATCAGTGTCGTCTCGCCGCGCATCCTGGTCCATGTATGTGTCAAAGCTGCCATCGTAAGATGACTGTTGCGTAAGTCGGCGGCGGCTTATCTTCAGGAGGAGTCAGATCAGCTTCTTTAGATTTGAACCATGCATATTTTCGCTTCTTTCTCACTGAGTTGCCGGTTGGGTCTACCCCTCTGCGCATGGCTAAAGTGCTATAAAGGAAACAGGGTGAGCATAAAAGCTCGCGGCGTGGAGTCTAGCAACCGACCTTGTCATCTGAATGAACACCTGCGCAAGCAGGAATGACGAGATCTGGAAACGCATGGTAAGGAAAGAGTGTGGTGAGGAGCAGGAAGCGAGCGGTCGGGGAGTTTCTCCAGCATCTGTCGCTTTCTTGTTCTCTTTCGTTTCAGGCTCCTGTCCGGCAGTCCTCGGTCTATGCCGGCGCAACATCGTCTGTGGGGGTCACAAATACTCCCTTTTTGCTACTTATCGCTACCTCTAATGACTTTCATCACTCAAACATATCATGCCCATATGCTTTGTTTGCCGGTCAGCCGTCACTGAGTAAGCTGTGCTGGCCGTTTATTACTCAACATGCCGAAATTTCGCCGTAGCGTTTATTGGTAGCAATGTTGAACAGCAGCTGCGTCTTCTGTAGAGCATAATGAAGACCGTCAGCTTGCCCCCCTCAAAAACGCATGCTTCATTGTAGGCCTCGACCGGTCATCACACCCAAGGCGAGATCGGGCACTCAATTCTGTGCAGCTGGGAGCTGTGTCGCCCACTTGATAACCCACAATGTCGTGACATAAAAATTCTGACTAAAGCTCTAAACCGGAATACTTCACTTGATTTCTCTTTTAGTCTAACTACCGGCACTGGAAGTAGCCTCTTATGAGACGATCTCTGACTCCTGTTACTTTGCTTTGAGTTTTGAGAATATTTCGATAAGAGCAAGCACTATTTCTTGGGCCGATAAATCCTCGTTCCCCGTCGCAGTAGTGGAACTGCTGCTGCTTGCATTAGAGCGCATCGCCTCCGCCATTTCCTCGGCCATCTTTTTCATTATGTCCTCCTTGATCTGTTTGATCTTCTCTTCAACATTTGCAAAAACATCTTGTACGTCGATGCCCATCGTAGCGAAGCCCTCGGCATTGTCTCGCAGGTAGCCATGCACATTGTCGCGGAGTCCTTCTAAGCGATTCTTCAATTCTGCTTTCTGCTCCTCTTTCAAGTGCCAGATGTAGGCAGGAAATTTCTTCTGAATGGATCTTGTCTGCTTAGCAAATTCCAAAAGAGCGTTCATGAGGACGAGCTGCTCTTCAGTGAAAGGCAGGTTTGCTATAGTCTTTCTCATGTCGTTAACAACTTCATTGGCGATTTTGATCCTCTTTTTCTTTTCGGACTTGGACCATAGTCTGAGATTGTGAAGAAGAGGTTCTGTCACCTTATTGTTCATCCTCTTTTGGAAAGGACGATTCTTTGACTGAGTGCTGCCCGTTACCACACGTTGCTGTGCTGAGGAGGAAGAGTCTAGCTCTCCAGCTTGGGCCAAGCTTTTCCAGGCATTCACGACCTTTGCATTCAGGAGATTTTTGACTTTGTCTCCTAGCGAATCGACTTCATCGTCTGCACCTCGAAACAAACGACCTTCTTTGATGATACTGTCGGGCTTTCCAAGCTCGACAAAACCGGCTCCGGCCGATTTGGATCCCACCTTCTGCTCACCAAGCATGCTCTGCGTAACGGAGCCTCCCTCGTATACGGTGACACCGGTGTGGCCATCAATGCTTGCACTGCGCGGACTGCTATAGTCGCCGGCCAGCAGCTCTTCGTTGACCACGCGGTCTCCTGCAGCGCCGCGAGCTTTGCGTGCAGACCTAGAGGACAAATCTGCCGCATTCATGAGCTTGCTGAAAACGACGACCTCTCCGCTGGCGCCCGAGTCAATCTCGACAGGCTTGTCGCTCTCTGCGTGCAGATGGGCGTCCGTGAAGAGCTGATCATATTTACTGGCATGCTCTTCGAGATTGGGGACTGTGCCACCATCTTGAGACTTGCTTCGTTCGTCCGTGACGATGAACACGCGGGCGGGATCAGTAGGTACATAAGAGGCTCCTTCCAAGGCATGTACGACGGTCACCGTGGGGCCGTGGCTGGGGAGTATGACGGGAAGGGCTCCGGTGCTGGGGAATGCTCGCATCAGATTCAGCAGGCTCCCGCAATAGCAGAGAGCGATGACCCACCTTGCGACCAGCGCAAGAACCAGAGCAGGGAGCACAAGGGGAACGGTTGAAGAACCTCGCATCTTGATGAACGAGAAGAAATTGTTGTGTTGTGTGGTGGGTTGGGAAAGAGGGGCGAGACAGCTGCAGAGGGCGTGCTTATATAGACAAAAAGGAGGGGGCAGAGGGTGTCAAAGGGCAGCTCGTTTGTGCTCATCGCGCATTGTTGTTTGTCGATAAGTTGACCTCGGCGTCGGCTCGGTGGTCGGTAATTCCTGTTTGACTCGCTTTCTCGGAGCTCGATCAAAATAATTGCTCAGCCAATGAGTGATCGCAACTCTGCTTGCGGTCAGGTACCACACGTTGAACCAAAGTAGACTTATTGAGAAAAGCCAAGCCCGTTGAGACGTACTAGGAAAGCTGCTCGACTAAGGGTAGGCGAGGCGCGCCAGTCAGAGGAGACAGGAGATGAAGGAGAAAGGACAGGCTGACCCCATCTGGAGTTCACTTCCTACTTCAATCAACACGCACGATCACCGTTGCGATCGAGACTCTGTAACATCGTATCTCGTTGTTACCAGCGAGATGAAGCGTGTGACTCGCGAGACAGACCGAGACATGCCCGGCGATCGAGGTCTCGACATCAAAGAAAAATAACCGTCTCGATGCCGTCGGTGAATTCCGCGCCACCAGAAGTGAACTTCGTAAGAGTATGAACCAATGGCAGGAGTGCTTGTGTATCAGTGTGGGAGCGTGCTTGTTGATGCCTTGAAGTGGAGAAGGTGGGGGGCAACGATTATGCCCAAACTTGCAATCGTGGGAAAAAGGTACACAAGGCCAGCCATACCGCCTGGTGCTCATTGGTGAGCACTTTCGTAATCTTTCGTAAACACCGCAGCTGTCAACAAGACCTCGCAAGTTTTACAGACCCAGCAAACAGACCTGGGCACATATGAGTCGACTCCCTACACGCCCCGGTCCAAGAACAAGACTGGCAGCAGTGCGACTACTGTTATTCCCCCCTGCAAGAGGTGCTGTCTAAATCAGCAACATTTACCATTGCGAATATGCAGAGCGAAGTGGCCTTTGGCGAGCCATACAACACTGTTCCGCGTGCTGCACTCAGTCTCCCCCAATTCCGTGAGCAGGTCACAGAGCTGTGGGGCCAGGACGAGTTGTGCCTTCTTTCGACCGCGTCGAAAACAACAACAAGCAGTGGAGTCAAGCAAGGCCCGGGTGAGCGCGCCGCCCCACGTGAGCTTGCTAGCCCAAGAATAAAAAATAAAGAAGAAGTTAAAGCGACAGGCGCCTCTTGGTCGCGCGCGTCCGTCCACCCACAGAAAACAAGGCAGCACAGCGACCGGATGCCCCCGACACCAGCTCAACGAGAGGCGCGAGGGGCCCGGGGGCGTGCGCCCTACTCGTACCGCGGCGAATTGAAGCGAGACGGTGAGTACTGCCGAGTCGAGTGTGAGTGTGTGGGCTGCACCTGCAGAGGCTGACGCCGCCCGGCCTTGCTCAAAGTGGCCAGCCTCATGTATGCGTTTGGCGACGTGGTCGAGCCGCATGCCGATTCGGTGGCGCTCCTCGAAGAGATGACGGTGCAGTTCCTCGTCGACCTGTGCCACCGCGCGCGGCCTTCGCCCACGGTGCTGCCCATGCCGACGAGCCAGTCTACGATCCAGATGCTGGCGACAGCGACAGCGCCTGCGTCGGCTTCGGCGTCAGCGTCGTCCTCGACGCCCCAGCAGGGCTCGTCCGTCTCTGCGTCCCTCAGCGCAGCCGGGGCGAGCAAAAGCGCAAGTGCGCCCAAGGGTGGCAGCAACAGCAGCGACCTGCTGGCGACAACAGCCATGCCTCCCAGGGGTGCTGCACACCCCTTTGGCGCGCGAAGCCGCATGACGGTCGAGGACATCAAGTTTGCACTGCGCAAGGATGAGAAGCTGTTTGCCAGAGTCGAGGAGCTCCTCTACCTCGAGAAGGTCATCAACGATGCGAGAAAGGGCTTCACGATCCCGGAAGAGGAAGCCGCCGCGGCGAATAGCTGATGACTCGCTGACTCGCCGGAAGAGACCCAACTACTCCTTTCTTTTTTTTTTCAGCCCGGCTGTGTACTGTACTGTACACGCTACGGCAGAGGATACTGGGCCATGAACACATGTTACTCTGTGCCGGTGCCTGCATGGAGCCCACATCACACTCTGGCTTCTGCGTTCCTTTATTAATCCTCCCTTTCCCTTCCTCTCTCTCTCCTTCTCTCTCTTTCTCTTGCACAACCACCACCCTTCGAATCTCAGGTGAAGAGCGCAAGGGCAACCATGGTTCGCAAAGTGGCCTACGTGCTGCTCGCCTTGGTCGCCGCCATTCTGGTCGCTGCGACTGATCCGGGCAACGGAAGCCGCAGCAACACGCGCAGTGACGTTAACACGACTCTGCGGCTGGCACTGTCAGACTCGCCAGAGTCGCCAGGACCGCGCGAGTTGCCAGAAATGCCACAAGTGCCGAACCCGCCGGGACCGCCAGAACTGCCGAGCCAGCCAGTACCTAGCGTGCAGCCAGTACCTAGCGGGCAGCCAGCTCCAAGCGTGCACCCGAGACCGTCAGCATCAGGCGTGCATCCGGCACTGCCAGAAGCAAGGGTGCACCCGACACCGCAAGAAACAGGCGTGCACCCGACACCGCCAGGACCGAGCGTGCACCCGACACCGCCAGGACCAAGCGTGCACCCGAGACCGCAAGAAGCAAGCATGCCCCCGAGCCATCTCACACCCGAACTTGTGAGCTGGTTGCGCCAGGATATTAAAGAGCATGCCGCGAGGGCCGCCAAGCGCCGGTACATGGATTTGTCGGCATTTTTTCCGCTCCCGCCAATGCCTGTCCGCTTCCAAGATCTGCCCAAGCCCAACGGCCCGCCTGGCGATGTGTGGCGGGAGCTGGCGCAGCAGCATGCACCGTCACAATTTCACACGCATCCACCACCGCCACAGTCGGCTTCTTCAGCCAGACACCCAACCCCACCTCCCTCGACGGTCTACCGCTCTTGGCTCGATGCCATGACTGGGGCAGAGCGCCAGAAGCCACCAGCGATGAGCTTCGGTGCTGGAACCAGCCAACCGCCGCATCCTTATGCTGCGCGAGGACACCGTCAGTTGTTCACAATGAGCCAGTCTGCTGGGCCTAGCCATCCCCTTCGTCCTCAGATCGCAGCAGGACACGGCCAGCCGAACGCGCAGATCCCCGTTGCCCGACCCAAACGTGCCCAGTTTGAGGCCGCAGCCGCGGCAGCAGCAGCAGAAATTCGCAAGGCTCGAGCGATGAGGAATGCTGCAGGGCCCAGCCAGCCTGACCCTCGGGCCGCAGCAGGTGTCGGCCAGCCGCCTGCGTGGAGCCAATTTGCTCATTATGCTCAAATGATGAATGCACAGGCAGGGCAGAACCAGCCGCCGGCGATGGG